GTGTTGTTGCATCATCGATAATAAACAGAGTGGTGTTGTTGCATCAATAGTGAGGAATTAAAACCGCATATTTCTCGCTTCTTGATGATGCTACATGCATACTAATGAGAGTTTTTTAAAATATAGATCATGAGCTAACTGCACGTGTATGATTATTGAGCAACTCGTCCTAGAAATGGGTTTAAATTGGGAAAACAAAATATCGTACGAAAATCTATCACCGGAAGTCTAGCCATCTTGATGCAACAACACGGTGTCGTTGCATCACGATACCCCCCAGTGCAAAGGGTACATAGACATAATTCTAAAAAATAGAGATAATGTTATACATTAATACCACGGTGCCCATGTCAAGCTGCGCGCCTACTTAGGTGCGCAGTTTGTTTCGATCACAAACTGCGTGCCTAAGAACAATTTGCATCATTTAGGTTGGAGTCTGTATTTTGAAACGTAATTTAAAGACATTTATCCTGCATTGTTTTCTTGTTCAATGCGTTCATTCTGTGGCGAATATACGAATCTTGCAAATACTAGCAAAAACTATGTGCAAATGAATCTAAGTTTTAAAACATAAGCAGATTCATGGCATTTTCGTCACTGATTTAACGGGAATTTTTACGTAAATCGATCTAGCACTTTAAACATAAATGACAAATACTTTAGACTCGTTTTATATTTAATTCCTTACACATTTATCATGTATAATTCAAAATATTTCGAGATAAAACAGATAATCAGGAGATTAAAAAGAAATAAATCACAAACTGCGCGCCTATTTTAGCCAGAAATTACAAACTGTGCGCATACACTATTAAAACTACATACAGTATTATTATTGGAATTTCTACAGAGGCACGTGTAGGTGTTTTCATGTAGCTTTGGAAATTTTGCTTTATCGTCAGATTTTATGAGATTTTCATATTGAAAGTCAAAATGTATAAAAGAAGTGACAATTAAGTTGGGAACGAAAAAAACTTTTCTTTTCAGATCACCATCTTGGTGGATGGACTCTGATAGTGTTTCAATTATGGGGTTCTACTATTAGACACATTATGTGCCTTGTATGGCACTTATGTTTTCTAATAATACAAAACAAGCTTGGATAGGCAAGCAGTTTGGAAATATTAGGCACGCAGTTTGGGAAATATATGTGAATATAGGCGCGCAGTTTGACAAGAAAAATGTTTAAATCACGTTTATGGCGTATTATCGTTTTGAACACAAACTTTGCTGATTTAATCAGATGGAGTGATCCTATATATTCTAGCATACACAGACACAATGGCTGAATAAACGGCAAATGAGGATAAAAAGACATAGATATAACTTTACACTGTAAATTTTGAACACAGAAGTTACTTAAGACCCTTATATTGAGATAACTAGGTTAACATCGGGAAAAACATTGAGTACTATGAGTAAATTAAGTTCATCTTCACAGAATGGTACTATCTTTAGAACGAGACTAACCTTGTATTTTTCGTATTTTGGCTCTTTTGGGAGTCGTGTCCTCCCGTCTCACATTTTGAAATATGCGCGCAGTTTGTCAGAGTTTCAAACTGCGTGCCTAGTAGGCACGCTGCTTGACATGGGCATCGTGAATACATCTATTGTAACATATGGTCATTTTTACAATGTGTTACTAGACTGTCAATATACCCTGGATCTGATAGAAAATGAAATGCACTTCATCAACTTTTACATATGATATTAATAAGCTATTTAATACTATTATTACTGCCACTATTACTAAGATTATTGTTATGAACTAGTAAAATCATTAATAATATCATGAATAAACAACATATACCAACACCAGAATTACAAATCTTTCCTGATAACAGAAAAAGTCATTTATCCAAAATTAATTCAAAATCAATAAAATAATAATTAAATAATTAAATTCAAAATCAACCAATTGATTGATATTTGGTATTCACGTTATATATCATATTAAAAATCTGCATTTATTTGATTGAGCACTCATTCCAGAAGTACTTTCGAGCAAGGGTCCTAAATATTACTGATAATGCATTTCATATGTAACATGAACTGGATATTTTATATGGCATTCTAAAGTCAAAAACTCCTGCATATTTTTGATCACTTCCAAACTATATAGTATAACAAGGCTTCTGTGCTCATAATGCTTTTGCATACAGAATATGAAGCAGATCCATAAAATTGGTATATTGGCTACCAAAATCATCTTATTTTGTGAAAAGTAATAAATAAAAAACGAATGAAGAATTAAAGTTGGAATACCATAAAACCTATCATATGCAATCTTAACTTTAAAGTTCTGCTTTATTTATAATACCTTTTGCAGAAGACAAGTACGTAGAGAATGAAACAAATGGCATACATATAATAAATGTACTTTTTGGAATCCATTTTGAAAAGTGGAATTGAAAAATACCAGGCTACTTCTGCATCTAATCCTAAACCACAATGGACCCATAATTAATGAGTTATTAACTAGTCTATACTGAACCATATAGAACTTTGAGAAATCCAGGCAAAGTGCCCAACTTATATAGAAAGAGTGAAACCTACACTAAGAGTGAGAGTTTATGCAACAAAAGCGGGAAGCAATACCCTGGGAAAATCCAATCTGTAATCATCCCCCACACATCAAACACTTCACTAAACTAATAATAACTTAATACCATTACTCTTTATTTATGTTGAAATTCCTGCCTACTGACTAAAATATTTTCTTTTATAATTTAATAGTTGTGGAATGCAAGCTGACCTGTGCTTACTGTTGACAGGAGAGTTCACTTGATCTTTGTTTACTATATCATGAGTCAACACAGATAATACTGTGTGGGATGTATAACTGGGAGGCCACTAACAAAACACTGTTCAACAAATACATATACAACTGAATATAAAAACTATGTTACATATTTAAATATTGGCTCATTTCCGGGTCTCTGTTTGGATACACACCATGAGCCTTATATATAAAATAACTCCCAATAAACTTAAGACCAATGGCTTAAATAGCTTACTTCAAATTTTCTTGGCTGATATCTGATACATCATATATATTATGAACAAAAAGCTTGATATGATAATATCATTGGATAGATTCTATAAAGAAATGATTGTATAAAACAAAGATTTTTTAATAATTTCATAATATAAACTGTACAAGCTTGAAAAAGTATCCAGATCATTCCTTTATAGCTTGTTGAACTTGTCGTACATTAGGCAGAAGGCTTCTATACTTTTTGACCATATTATAATATCATTGTATACATGTATAAACGTTTAATTTCATCTAACCTTAGTTGAGTGAACAACTGATACAAAAATTTCCACTGGGTTACTAGCACTGGATAGACCTTTACTCATTATATAGATTTTAATAAATGTATGTTTCTTCTCATTTAACCAATACTTTTAGCCAATACTGCTACCCTGATTATTTCTAATATTTTTCTTAGCATGAAATCAATAACAAATGTGACATTTTAGATTCTGGATTATGAAGAAATGTGAACACATTCTCTGTACATATTTATAGTTCATTGGACCACATAGCTTTACTGCATTTCAGAAATTTGAAAATTCGATTGAAAGCCCTATTTCAATCAAGACCCTTTAAATTTTTTCAAAAGTTTTGATATAACAATATTTGAGCAAAAATTGGTCAATTTGAAGCAAGTTGAAAAGAGACCTTTTTGACCTTTTTTGACCTTGAGAAGGTCAATGAAGGTCAAATCTAAAGTCAGATTTGAACTTCTGATAACTTGTAGAAGATTTGATTAAAAAAATTTGGTCAATTTGAATCAAGTTGAAAAGTGACCTTTTGACCTTGAAAAGGTCACTGAAGGTCAAATCTTCAATATCAAGTCAGATTTGAAAACTTGTAGATGATTTTGAAAAAAACTGAAGTCAGTCTAAACAGTATTTGTTAAGTTATTGGAAGTTTTAAGAATTGTTACAGACCACCAACCAATATGTCACCACTTTTTGGTGGTGACATAAAAGCAACTTTTTGAAATGAAATTCACAAAAAATGTCAGAAACTTATTGAATATTCATGTAGTTAATAGGTTACATAGTCACCCGTATCATGCATGACCCAGGATTGATTTATATTTCCATGAACATTCCATTTAATGTAACTGACAGATACTAACAGTGCTAAGGTTATACATATGTGTTAAGGGAAATGCAGTTCTAACCTCAATTAGAAGATCGCAGGCGCACACTTCGACTTCTTATTGAGATCACTTTTTTCCATTTTTTGCATTTGCCTAGCAAGTTTATTCTTTATTACACTGAGTGTGACCATTGAATATAAATAAGACACTCTTTGTTTTGAATTTGCCTTTTAATTTCCCGCCCGAGTTATTTTTTATTGATGTGAACATATTAAACTCAACTTCTAGCCAAGAATTGGCTAGAGACTCAAGTAAATTGATACAACCAATCAAATTATTCGTTACAAGAGTCTAACCGAAAGTTACAACTTGCTTGGCATGCAGTTGCAAATACGCACGGTTAATGTTGTTTTCTATGCAGTTATCAGAGTGTAAATTAAGACAAAGATTTGAAATAAAGAAATGTTTGGAAGACACTTTGGAGAAGATTCTGGAGAGATTTTGGGATAAGATTCGGTACCTCCAAGGAGAACTCATACCAAGACAATTTTGAAAAATTTCCAATTTAAGTTGTGCACCTGCGATACTTATAATTGAGATTACTACTACGTCCCTAAGCCAATGGTGACACTGAAGACTCTGGTCTAGATGATTTATTTTAATTCGATGCATTTACTTCTGTAAGGCCGTTTCTTACAGGTGTGAAAGTGGCAAAAGTGCAAGTTGTAAGTAGACTGAAAACACATCCATGATTGTTGCAGTCATGATTGTACAATAGACTTGCTTATTTCTCATTTGATTAAAAGTAATATATCTGAATACAAACAAAAATTAGAAACTACAAATGAAAGTAAAAAAGAAAGTTCAGAACTTTTTTCTTACCAGCAACTGGGGATAGTTTCCGAATTATGCACCATCGTGACTTCCACTGAAAAGAGAAATACCATAGTGTTACAATATAATATTTTGTCTATTTACTATGGATACTCCTACTTTGTACAGTTAACTTACCTTTCTTCCATCACGATATTTGAGAGGTCCCTCGATCAACAAATGTACATCTGCCATCTCCCAAATTGTTTGGGAAGTGAATGACTAGGTGAGATGTATTGGTAATTGATTTATGACACACCCCATATTCACATTGCAAATCGGGTTATGTTGACATTGTTACCATTTCAAGGGAAGGCGCTCAAGCTCTGAGAGAAATATTCAAATCTTTTTATAAATTGATTGACAATGAGAAAAATACTTTATAAGGCTTAGTGAGAAATAAGAATTTAAAGTGGCAGTGATGGATACAGGATTAGCACAGACCTCTTTGTAATCATTAAAGTTTGAATAATTAATCATCATAAAACATCCCAAAATACAGATGTACATGTAGTTTTCAATTTCAACTTAGCCATAGTGTTTTCTACATTTTGAAAAATATTTTGTTTCAAACCATACAGGAACTTTAAAAGGTCAAATCAACAAACTGCAATTTCCAACATAACTTTGGTACCCTACAGATATCAATCAATCAATCATATACGCATAAAGCTCCATTTAAAGAAAAGTTGATTTTTTATATTGAACAATTTAAAAATACTGGATATTCTGAAATATAGCCAATAATTTACATTTTATGAGTCCATATTAGTTGAAATTTTATATTTGAAAACGTCCAAGAAGGATTCAAACGCAATCCCATTTTCAAATTTTCTGGGGGAAGAAGAAGAACCTCCTTCAGAGTTTCGCTCACTTGTGGCATACACTTACAAAATACTCACACTAGGCCACTGCCTCATTTAGTAAGGAAGCAGCTTGAAAAGTTCCAAATTGAAAATTTGCTGTTATTCTCAATTTTAAATGAATTTTTAGTACCTTCTTCTAAGGCCACTGTATTGGCTAGAGACTCAAGTAAAATTTTTATACCCGAGGCATCATGCAAAATGAGCAAAATCTTATTTTACGTTTTTGAAACAAAGAATTGAGATTCTTTATCATGAGTATGAAAAGTCGAAAATTTTAGAGGGGTCGTCGACCACATTATAAGTATTTAAAGCATTATGTTAAAACTTCATGATCAAGGAATGACTCAAATTTTGAAAAGTGTTCATATTATTATAACTATTCATCTGAAATACAACTAGGGATAAAAACAATTTAAATCATTGGCTATGTTGTACCTCTAACAAGTGGCTTTAAGAAGGACAAACTATATCTGGTGTGTCATGAGTCACGTGACCACATTCGCCATTTTGAACACACGAGTAATCAAGACAGATTTCTACGAAATTCTTTGAATTACTGGTCGATTGGTGAGTGTAATTACTGAGTGCATTATGTTTTTTGAAACAATTTATTTTGTTTCCACGGGTGTTTGCGCATTTTATTCACTCTGGCTTTGCAAGACCAGAAAACAATGATACAAAAACGAATTGTCTCATGTTTTTTGTTTTCAAGCATTTGATTTTTCATAGAATCTATTATCTAATTTTTCAATTTATTTGTATAAATAAATCTAGATGTATATAAGAATGTGTTGTAAAACATGCATTCAAATCTTTCGCTTATGTATAAATAACCAATCATTACATTTTGTGCTGTTGTTGTGACATGTGTGATAGCATGGGCTTTCAACTAGAAGGGTATGCAACTCTATGTAATAACATGAGACCTTCAAAATGAGCAATGACATGCTTCCCTTTTATGGCAATATTTCAAAAAGTATTAGATAAATGTATATGTTTTAGTATTATTTTGAATAAAAATCAATTTTTAATATGATTAAGCATAAAATATATTCAATATCATATAAAAGTAAACAAAAGAGACCAATAAGAATAAGAGTTATCAAGATGCTCTCTTTGAGTATTGCATTGTGGGTAATTATTCAAGAACACATTCCAATAAAAACATAATTTGTGGGAGAATGTTCACTTTCTGTATTGTCATAATTATGATGAATTCTAATTTTTATTAAATTATCAAGATGTATGTAGAAGATCATGTTTTTATTTTTGAGTTATTTCTTTTAATCATCAATAAAAAGTACAAAATAAGATTTTCTTGGAATGTGTACATTCTCCAATTTTGAAAACCCATGGCAATGTTTATGTATGAAATATGGGAAGTTGCCTACCCTTCTAGTTGAAAGCCCATGGTGATAGGTTGAAGGGGTATAACAAACATGATGCCATTTCGTTTCAATTTGGGGTAGGGCGAAGGGGTATAACGTTGACACCATTCTGGGGTAACTTTTACACCTTGTTGTTTATTTTCTCTAATTTCTGATTTTGGGGGACGGCATGGATCGAGATCTCGCAAGATTTTGATTTTTCCTGAAATCAAACATGGCGGAAAACGGAAATTCTACTTCTAATAAGTAACTGTCGAAGTTATCCTGTCTCTTGTTTCGATATTACCCCACACGTCAACGTTACACCTCACTACGCGAGCCATGTTAGATTTTGAAACTTATGGCTCTCCAACAGAGAAATACACAGCTGAACAATAAATAAATCTCTGGAGGTTGTCTGAACCTAACTCATTCTCAAAATTCATTTCATTCGTTGCATATCTCGCTCCTAGCAAACCGCCATATTGGAAATGGGTCAAAAAAACATTCACTCGATGAACAATTTACAAGTCTTGATCGAAAAAGAAGTATTTCAGCGCTCCAATACTTGCACAGATTGATGATACTGATGTAAGACACAGTTAGAGACCAAAAGTAAGCCGCGGATCTCATTATTCATGTTTCAAAGGTCACTATTATTCAGCTGTCCAAGTGCGCAGTGAGAAAGCTATTATATCAAAATCCACATAGCTTTCACAGGAAGTAACTTGCCCTAACTTTGACATATATAACTTTGTTACCCTGTTGTTAATTTGGAAGCCAAGGTTTTTCTGCTAGCATGGATTGAGATCTCATGAGACACTGGCAAAAGTCCCATGTTATAATTCACCTACCTGATGTCAGTCATATTGAATCAATCAGGTGATCTGATAAGTTGTTGAAATTTTCATGATGGCTGAACAAGGAAGTTCCCAACTTCCTGTTTAAACACTTACCTCTGAAATCTGCCTTATATGATGGAACTTGATGACAGGTCCATCAGAAAGTGAATGCATTGCATTGAAAATATTAGACTCCGGAGTTTAGATATGTTAGTAAAGTTAAAATCATATTTAATATTTAGAACACTTCCTTCCAAATGAAGGGTAATAATCAGTAAAATTGCTGTTTTTCATCAGTCAAGATGATGGTCATGCATTGAATGAAGACGCCTATCGTCTGCATCATTTTAAAATTTGATAAAATTTTGATAAGTTTGTGAAAAAAAAGTTCTGCAGACTCGAGTAGACTCAATGCGAACTTACCTCTTGAAAAGTGCATACATGTACATACCTTACTTTTTATCATCAAAATGGTGGCCAAAAATAACACAATCGCAACCACAATTGTCTAATATCAATGATTTAGCTGCAAATTTTGAACTTCCCACCATCTTTGAAATCTCATTTGTGACCCCTAAGGTAGGTAAATAATAATATATACCGACCACCCATAATTCTTCTTCTATTGTGCTCATTGTGTCAAATGGATTGTGTTTAGGTCAGGCCATTAATTAGTTCCAGTGAAAATAGCGTTTGAAAATGTTAGGACTGTGTAATTACAAGACGTAACTGGCTAAGGTATATTTCCTTTGAGGTCTCATATTTCTGGATATATGAACCACCCAAAGTCCCAGGGAATGATTATTTTCTTGTGTTTTTACTGGACAACACTTCCATTCATGACTATAAAAATGGTAAAAAGTACGAAAAAATTGCAGAAAGATTGCTGAAGACCTTATTCGTCATAGATATACCCTGCACTATCTTAAGAACACACTGATGGTTATTGTGTTTTGTTTTGCCCATGTACTAATTTCAAAGAATCAAAATGAAAGTAGTTTCCCAAGAATCTTCAATCAGATTTGACCTGTGGCATACTCGAGCAGAAGTTTTCAAACTTGAAATATTCCAAGATGATTTTGCGCATATCTAGGCACATTTAGAGTAATATAGCCATAAGATAACCATAGACAAACTACATTATGTAAGTTTAGAGTTCTATCTAAATATTGAGATCAAATTTTCAATCATGCAATTGTCATTCATGGTTGAAGCTACCTGGTTGAAAATAGGGATTTAATTGGTGTCCTAAAATTCTTCACTTTTGCTAGTGCGAGATTGTTATTTTTTCAAAATCAAACATGGCGGAAAAGGGAAATTCTAATTTATAATAAGAAAGTGTCGAAGTTACCCCATTTCTCGTATTGACATTACCCCACACGTCTTGACTCTAAACGATGCTGGCCGCCATACATTAATTCAGTTTCCTTACACTGTCACGCAGAAGATTTCCTGTTGGACTACTGAACCAATACTTCAATACCAATACTACTGCTCGACGGGCTTGTACAATATTATATTCACAGGGCTAATGTAAACAATGTGTCAATCAACAATCGATTACGTGACATTTGCACAAGATGATAATGCATCATGGGAAAGTTTACTGAATGTCGCATGGAAATCAAGGCAAATTAAAACACAATATTTAGGATATTTGGTGAAGATAAACACACTTAGGTTTCTAATACTTGTTGTAATAATTCACATGTTTTATTTTATAAATACATGTACATGTATAACATTCACGGATTCGTAGCTGAATTTCTAATTCAGATACGAAAATCTGTAGCTACCCACACATGGACATTACTTCCCTTTGCCCTATACTGTATATGTTGGCTAATTCATTGCCATGTATTCCTATATGGCTTGGGACCCAGTAGTAGGTATTTATGTTGCACTTTGCCCTGGTAGCTTGCTCTCAGATAGTAGATCAGAATATTTAGTATAGATGTGAATTTCAGCAGGCCCGTTGCCAGGGGGGTTCGCAAAAATTCTTTCAAAATCATGCAGTTTATCACAATTTTGAGCATTTCTCAAGTGATTTTAGCCATATTTGGGCCAAAATTGTCAAATGTGAACCCCCCTGGAAATTTTTGAAAACTGAACCCCCCTCCCTTGGCAAATCCTGGCTACAGCCCTGTTCAGAATTAACAGTCCAGGGGTTCTAGTGTAAGGTGCAAACATGGGCCTCCCCATTAAAATGATTGCCTTTGACGCTGACTGCTGTTACTAAATGATGGAAAAAGTTTAAACTTCTTCATTCATTATGGACTATTTTGAGATAATATTAGTTTAGTATGATGTGGGAAGACCCACTGATACATAGTCATTGAGAAGATGCATCGAATTACAAAATGCATCATGTTTACAGCAGTTTGGTTTAAGTTGTCTATTATCACCCATTTTATTAAACACAATTTCAATCTTATTTCTCATATATTCACTATTCCTTGCACATTTCTCAATATTTCTTGAACTTTGTGAAGCAGGCTAGGCGCATATAAGGGGGTGGGCGGTAAATATGGTGATTATGGGAATTGAATAATCTCCATGTTTCTGCATTTCTAAACCAACAAGGATCACAACCTTTGCTATATACTTTTATAATCAAATCCTTTGATATGTTTTTCTAGTGTAACACAGAAAGTGAGAATAACATGGCCCAGTTTGGAGCTGCAAAGAATCCACCATGGGCCAGGACAGGAGGTAAGCTAAGTATCCCAGGGTTGTAATCAAAAACTCCCATACTGATACTTTGCTCATCAAAAAGAGATAATTTAAAATGTCGATTTGCTTAATTAAAGAGCCTGATGTTCAGTGGGAGTGACACATTCCTCTTTTTGTCATATCATCTTGGCTTGATAGGGCTAGCAGTTTTATTAAATACTTGTACAGCACTACAGTTGAACACTTTTGAAATTCATATGTTATGCCAGACCATCCATCTTCACAAAAGCCCTTTACATATGATTAAATTCTGCATTTCAAATAACTAATCCTTTTCATGTATTTTTTCAGCATCTGTATCGAACAGTGTGAATCTTGGCACTCAGATCCTGAGCCAACCAGGAGTAGCTACCCCAACAGTGTTCAGTCTTGGAAGCACAACTCCCTCCCTCGCTACCCCCCAATATACAGCCCAGCAGATCTCTGTCATACAGCAGCAACAGGCAGCAGCTGCCGTCCTCCAGGTCCCAGGCAGCATGGGCCTGCCACAGGTACAGGTACTACCATTACACTTTCCTCATAGGAACACATATCTATTATACTTGCTTCATGTCCTGCAAATAAACTTATTTTATAGGTACAGATACAACTGATATGCCTACCTCTTTGGTACATGTACTACTTTTATACTTGCCTCTTTGGTACATATACAGTATACAACTTCTATATTTGCCTCATAGGTATATGTACTACCGTTGTACTTGCCTCATTTGTTTTCCGGTGTTGAATCTTGGAATAGAATTCCTACTTTATAGTTCTATAGTGATTTTGTGTATATGTTTTCCTATAGCCTGGTGTTGCTTTACCTACAAGTTTGTCATCCAACCAAGTGGCCACAGTGTCCTACCCAGCACCTAGAGCCACAGGGGCACAACCCACACCCAAACAGAGAGTTTTCACTGGACAGGTCACAAAGCTTCATGAAAACTTTGGCTTTGTTGATGAAGATGTATTCTTTCAAACTTCGTAAGTATATCTAGATTCATTTGAATTATATAAGATAATAAACTGAAATCGAATTTCTTTATTTTGTGCATATTATATCAGTTAGTTAAATGAAAGGAGAATGAAACAGAAGAAAAGTATTTTTATTTCCATTATTGCTTCATAGATAAGAAGGTAGAATAGACAGTTGAGTTTGCATTTATTGTTGTTTATTGTAGGGTTGTCAAGGGAACCCTTCCACGTGTGGGGGACCGTGTACTAGTTGAGGCCAGTTACAATGCTAATATGCCATTCAAGTGGAATGCTACCAGAATCCAAGTCTTACCCAATCAGGTGAGGAACTTGATGGGACATGTTTTTGTTCACCACAGTTACTGCACATAGCCACAGCATCTTATTTTGCCAATTATGACAATAGCATCATAATGGAATATCCAAAAATTGACCAGTTGCTAATTACATGGATAAATAAATGGCAGCATTGTATGTGTCGGGCTATAGACCAGTATTCTCAATGGAAAAAAAGCTTTCATTCATAAAATATTCTAATTATATTAATTTAAAGCTCATTTGACATGTGCAGATTGTCATATCACTTTAAAATGGTCATCTTAAAAAGAGTTAATTAACTTTTTATTAAGATATTTTTACATTGTGTCTAGGATTTAGCCCAACCTTTTCAGAAAAGATAAAATCCTGGCAAGTGGAATCAAATAAAATCAAAGTTTCCTTAATTGAAGAATATGCACAGAATTAGAATGTGTTATCTAATATAACCAGTAAAAGCATATCTCTTTAAATCACATGTGAAACAACATTTCAATGAGATTTGAAAGCTATGTAGCTAACCTTGCATTGATCAACATACTCTAATAATATGTAATCTGGTATTTCAGGCAATGGGAGGACCATCCGCTCTACAACAACAGCAAGCAGCACAACAGGCCATGCTCAAAGTTGCTCCACCAGGTAAACCATCTTGTTTAGTTTGTCTTGTCTGTGGTTTGCTCTAAATATCTCATGCTTTTAACCCTGCAGTCATGGGAAGTGAAGATGCATATCCAAGACAGGTATTGTGTCTGTATTAGATTAAACTATGTGGTTATTAGCTTGTACGTTGAAAACTACTTGTATGTTATAGGTATCACCCCCAGTATAACCCCTGCTGTGCCAAACCTCAGCCAGCCTCCCCCGCCACTCATGGGACATGGTAAGACTTCAACTATCTAACACTCCTCTGCATCATTAATGAACATTTAAATGTCATGCTATCTTGGTCTTCATATATGAATTGTTTTGAGATTTATAAGGTGGGCCTAATAGGATGATTTAAATAATCTTTTATTCAGCACGTATGTCTGTTTACAGTTAATGCTAAATTACACACATTCAGCTCATTCCACACACTTAAAGTTCTCAGTCATAATGTTTTTTCCATAGGACGTGCAAGTTCAAACCAATCTATACCAAACCAGCGAGGTGGCAGGGATCGTTTCAGTGATCGAGATTCAAGAGAGGGAAGGGGAAACAGGGATCATCGCAATGAACGTGGTCAGGAGAGAGAGCGAAGGTCACCAAGGAAGAGGTCAAGGTCACCAGTACAGAGGCGTGCAAGGTCAAGGTCACCTGCACGTAGGAGTCCTCCAAGGAGAAGGCCCAATAGAATTGTACCCAGATACATGGTGCAGATTCCAAAGCTTCTGCTCGACACGTAAGTCATTCATTTATCAACATAATGCATTGCTTGTTTAGTATGAAGGTATAATTACAATGCTTTGTTTCTTTTTGTATTCTGTTTAATGGCTAATATGATCAAAGTTCAAGATACCAACACAATGTTGCCAGGATTAAGAGATGTTGTTATTGTCTTTCAGGACTGAAGCTGTTGTGATGACCCTCAAGCAGAGATACCAGAACCTCTATATTCCTAGTGACTTTTTCCAAGCTACATTTAGTTGGGTTGATGCGTTCCCAGCACATAGAACCTTACAGATAGGTAGCTACAACTTAAATTTATTTCATAAAATCCCAAACATCTTGTAAAGTAACTTAAACATAATGTCTTTTGGGCAGTATTCGTGATATGATGAAAAATTATAAGGCTAGATTGTAATTGAAATACATAAATAGATGATACAAATCCATGGATGTATTGATATTTATTTGATGGATGTTTGTATGATGTTGTTGTAGGTAATCACTGTGCATTCCATGTTGCCCACAAGGAGGTTGATGCTCTCACAGAGAATGATGCCATACTTGAACCACCAGATGCTGATCATCTATATAGTGCCAAGGTAAATATTATATAACATTCACTTAAACAATCAATAGCTCTACCACTGGATGTTGGTTCTCTGCATTTCTTCTTGTTCAAAAGAATTTTGACTGTTTTTGATATACTAGTGTTTGTTGTAGTGGCACTATTATTTCTAGTACCTGTATTTTTAACCAATGCTTTTTCCCCTTCTCTGCTTTTGGCCTAGTCTTATTGGGTAGTGTATATTCTGTTGCCAACTTTATGTGTATTGACTGGTCTACATTAATGGCATTGACTCTTTTAGGTAATGTTACTGGCCAGCCCTAGTAGGGAAGACATCTATCACAAATCTTGCGCCTTGGCTGATGATGTGTCAGAGATGCGAGAAAATTTCCAACATCCCACACGGCTGCTCCAGTTCCTTGTTGGTTTAAAAGGCAAGAGTGAGCCAATGGCTATAGGAGGCCCCTGGTCACCCTCCTTAGATGGCCCCAACCCAGGAGAAGACCCTCGCGTGTTGATCAAGACTGCAATCAGAACTACCAGGGCCCTTACAGGGCTCGACCTGAGTGTCTGCACACAATGGTATGTACCTACAATCACCTAACATATCTCAATTAGAGTCAAGTTAGATAAGTTGAAGAAGTTTTATACTTGAGTATTCTTAAGAGATTCAACACTTAGAGTAACATTACATAAGAGGTGATTGTATTATGTCATAATAGCACTCTCTTGATTCATTGCTATGTGCAACATGCACACATTTATATATGTTGTATGTATGTGGCTACCATAGCAACCTTATGCAATGGCTATCCCAGTCCTCACTATGCATGTTCTAATACAATAGCAACAACACCAGGACAACTGCAACCAGATGCTCTGTATGATATTGACTAGTACTACATTTATAACTATCAGATCCTCCCAGTTTTCTGCAAGTTAAAAAAAAGAATCCTGCAAGTGAAATTCGAGAATTATGCAAGAGAAATCTTGGGTCAATTCAATAATACAAATATGAAGTCGTTGAGTGTGAAATATTATGATAGTCATAGACACAAGTTGTCATTTTGGGAGTAAAACAATACAAAATCAGATGTTATGTTATACTTTTTCGCTATTTATGGTCAAAATCTTACAAGAAATAGAACTGCCAAACCCACAAACTTCTGTCTTTGCTCCTCCATGGAAACAGAAAAGTGGGAGAAATGATTGTAGAGTCAATATCAACCAGGGGACATACATAAATATTTGCTCTGGTTTTGTTTTTTGGCAGAAATTTCAGTTATTCATGCTTTGGGACTATCATGATGTATAAATACCAGTGTGTGATTTCTTTCTGCACTAATGATTGGTGGATATTTTTTCTCATATATTTAATGTCACTGGTAGTATCACCATTTTCCATTGCTTTAGAAAGGACTTTCATTCCTTGTTGATTTAGATGGTACATTACGTCGTTATTGGACTGGATAATTTTGCTTAGCAATACATGTATGAATATGTTGTGAAGAATTATGAAGAAATGCTGCTGTTTTTAGTATCGAGGGAAAACCCCAATTTTATAAATACATGCTTTTGATTCTGTGACGTATTCCCTGGTGCTACATGAATAGTTACTGGGACAAATTGCAATTTGATCTACCTTTAGATTTTTCTACATCAATTTTAACTCACATTTCCTCTGTGTTCTATAGTTTCCTTATAGCAGCACCTGTACTTAGTCTTGCCATTCACCTGTAGATTATAGCCTCATGCTTCTAACCTCCCCTTATGTACTTGAAGTACCTACAGGTTTGGTTGTATCTTGTATCATAGTAATATCATTGTGTGTAAGCATTGACAGTTATACAACTTCTCTGAGCTAGAGATGCGCTATGACTTTCTCTTTATGTACCATTAGAATATTATGAAGAACAAGCTGCACTATAATACATTGTATAATTTGAAATGAATGATTTTACAATGTGCTATTCTACGCTATGTCAGTACATGCTTGTATTCTCTGTATATTAAAACATCATTATTTCTCCCCATTTGTCTAGGTACAGATTTACTGAGATCCACTACCACCGGCCAGAGGAGACTCACAAGGGACGCCTGGTGCCCGCCAGGGTGGAGACCACAGTCATTTTCTTGCCTGATGTTTGGAGCTGCCAGCCTACACGTCTGGAATGGGAAGGCCTCCAGAGCCAGTACAAGTCACAGCTGACTGATAAACTCAGTGAAGAATCCAATGAAGACCATCAGGCACTCTATATACTACATTTATATAATGTTCACCAACGCTTTCTTTTTGCCTTAGTTTGAACTATTGGGTGTCATTGAGCTTGTTGTCATGGCAATGTTCACTGGACACTCAATGGATATTGTTACATCACGGAGCTTGGCAACAATAGAGCTAGATGAGAGGGCGTAATGCCGTGTATGAATCTCCTGTTTGTAGTTGCAGTGGGTAAATGTAGGTGGGGCTGCAAGTAAATGGGTGCTGATGTGTGTTTTTCTTTCAGTGAAGACGACAAAAAAATAGGGCAAACGTTTGACATTGAAAAATTCAAACATGAAAATATACCTGTCTGAGACAAGAGTAGGCGTTACCTTGAGATAGTGTTACGATCAGTTCCATACATTGTTTACCATTACTTTAAAATATGTATTGTCTAAATCAAAGATTGAAGACCAACTAGAAAAAGACTCAGTCGAACTGTAAACTTTGCAAATTGAAAGACCCCTAGGATAAAGAACAAAAATAAAGCATTAGATTGTTTATGTTTTAGGATGAGGAAGAGGAGGCAGCAGCTGATGGTGGTCCCAAGGAGCCCTCTCACTTTTCAGAGTTAGATCCTAAAACCATGAAGGTAATTATCTGTATATCTATTGTATTATAGATGATACAATATTAGTATTACATCATCACAAGAAGTGGTTTAAATATTGTTATTTTTCCAACTTTATGTTGATGGTGTTCGGCAGTTGGTGTTTGGCATCAAGTGGCAGGTGGTGACATTTCGCATTGCATGTTGTTAATGCCTTGTTATGGGTGCTTTATTCTGTTTATAGTGAGGAGCTACTATTATAGAGTACTATTAGTATCTAGAAGAGAAAAAATCCCCTGGCCACAAGTTAGCTCTTGTAAATATCAAAAAATCAAGCTCCTAAAACTACTTTAAAATGACTTAATTTATTATGCTGCCACTGGTTACATGGCTGTGTGTGTTGTAGGTGAGTGAACTGAGACATGAACTAGAGGCACGCACCCTCAGCTCTAAAGGCCTCAAGTCCCAGCTGATAGCCCGCCTCCTAAAGGCAACCAAGTGTGAGTCTGAGAAGGAAACTGAAGAGAAAGAAAAGAAGGAAGAAGAAGGGGTATGGCATTGTCATTTATTGCACTGAAACAATAATGTTGTGCCATTTAGAATAATCATTCTGCAACTCAAAAATAAATTGTTTATATTTGATAAAAACAATGTTATTTTATTATTGAATATAGTGTTGAGTTGACTTAGCGCCAAGATGACTTTGGTGGAGTTGAACAATGAATGATGATTTGCCATGTTGTTGCTTTAATAGTGTTGATTGTACTTATTGGTGTTTTGCAGGAACCAGAGGAAGAGAAGGAGCCAGAGAAGATGGAGGTGGATGAGAGAGATGAAGAGAGAAAGAAGAAAGAGGTAAGTGAATTCTCTAGCCTCATCAGACACATTCAGTCATCTTTCTATATGCACATCACAACAGATCTCTACCTTTCCAACTCTATTGCATTGTACAGCATGATTTTTCTCAAACATTTGGAACTACTGTAATTTATGTCTGTATAAATGTAGGATGAAGAGAAGAAGCGCCGTGAAGACCGAGAGAAGGCAGCCAGGGAACGCCGCTACACACTACCTGAGAACCCAGCCATCATTGTGCATCCCTCCACCACAGCCAAGAGTGGCAAGTTTGATTGTACAACTATGTCTCTCAGCGTGCTCTTAGACTACAGGCCAGAAGATAACAAGGAACATTCCTTTGAGGTACTTAAGCCCTCTACATATTGATTTTGCCCTTAAATGGATCTCTTTTTTTCTGGTGGAGAAGGATAAAATAAAACTCACATTCACAATTTGTTCATTGATTTTGGATCCTTGTTCTTTTCATTTCTGAGGTAGTTGATTTAATAAACTATATGTGCAATGCTATGATATATAACCTGGTTCTGCTATAAATGGAAAAGCAGTGAACTGAATCATTTGTTAAGTACATGTATTCATTAACTGTGCAGGTGTCCCTATTCGCCGAGCTATTCAATGAGATGCTGATGAGGGACTTTGGCTTCACCATCTACAAGGGATTGATGGTTGCCCCAGACAGGAGGAAGGAAGAAGAGGAAGAGAAAAAGAGAGAGAAAGAAAAGAAGGAGAAGGAAGAAAAAGAGGCCAAAAAAGATGATTCTAAAGTAAGTCATGGAATAAGATCATCGAAATGCTTTATATCATTGATTTATTTTTATTCGAATGGCCTGTTATCCATATTTAAGAAACTTCTCATAATATAATTAAAAGGAAATATGTCTGACTTACTTTATCTTTACTACAGGAGCCAAGTTCCAAAAAAGCTCGCACTGATGATGGAGACAGTGATAAGACTAGCAAGAAAGATGACAAAGAATCTAAGACTGAGGATGATAAAGATAAAAAAGATGATAAAGAGGTACACACTTTTCCATATGGACTTTTATGAATGAAGAATGAAAAATTGAATGCTTTATAGATTAAGACATCACTGTTAGAATTGTTTGGTGTTCAGAGAAAGGGGTAGCTTTGTAATGCTAAATTGTAATGATGTACCCAAATGACTGTTTCAGAGTGATAAGAAGGATGATGATAAGGATGATAAGAAGAGGGATGAGCGCAGGAAGGACTCTAAGGAACGTAGCTCCAGCTCTAAGGACAGAGACAAGGACAAGGACAAGAAAGACAAGGACAAGAAGGAGAAGTTAAAATATAGAACTATAGACCCAGCTCTTCTTCTGGCATTCGTCTACTTCGATCAGAGTCACTCTGGCTACCTCATGGACAAAGATGTGGAGGATATCTTACATACACTTGGCCTATCACTCTCTAGATCACAGGTACAGTATATAATATCTTAAAATCTTACACACACTTTCATTGAACTCAGGATTGTGTATCTATTTTATTGTAGAGGCTGAAGAAATCTGTATTTGTGTGATTGTCTCTTAATACTGTGTAAAATATTTGCAGGTGAAGAAACTAGTCCAAAAGCAAGTGACACGAGACACCCTGAATTACCGCAAAATAACAGACAAACCTTTAAGCACAAAGCCCAAGGAAGGAGAAAAGGCTGACAAGGAAGTTAAGACTGATGAGGTTGAGGTGAAGAAGGAGACTGCAGATGAAGCTGACCTGAAGACCCAAGTGAAGTCTGAGCCTTCAGAGGATACTCATGTAGCAGATGGCATACCTACAGATGATGTTCTCAGTTTAGGTATGACAAAGAAACAGTTCATTCAGTTCATGTATACTAAAAGTTTTATATACAATTTAGTGAACAAAATGTTGTCAAAATTGAACTGTCCCATTGTATTTTCCAATACATCTTGAAAATGATGAGGTGATTAGAACTGAAATCTCACACAGTATGATGTCTGTTAAATAGGTTTTACCTTAAAAAAGCGTTAACGTGAGTTGACAAAAAGTGCTAATATTTTCAGGCAACAAGCCTCTCCTCCTGAGTGATGTGAAGAAAGAGCCACTAACCCCCACTGGTAGAGGAAGAAGGTCTGTTAAGAAGGCAGAGGGAGAGCAGCAGGATGCTAGCTCTGGTATGGTAATGTACAATGGCTCCCTCCTGGACATAGGCAGTGTGATGACACGCTTGGAGAAGAGTGAGAACTCAAGGAAGGCTGTAGAGGCCAAGATGAAAGACACACAGACTGAGATTGGTGAGTATGGTACAGATCATGTGATAATGAAAAGAGTTTTACAAATGTTTTGAGTTGAATGCTAATTACCATTGTGAATTCAAAAAGGCATATAATATATAGAGCGATTACACATGTACATGTGCACTTCACAACAAATGAAAACCTCAAGCTTGTAATAGGAGAACATGTAGTATAGTATTTTATTTCACAACAAATGAAAACGTCAAGCTTGTAATAGGAGAACATGTAGTATAGTATTTTATTTTACAACAAATGAAAACGTCAAGCTGGTAACAGGAGAACATTTAGTATTGTTAGTACCTCAACTGAAATACTTGATTCTGATTGGTTGATTAGCGGTCAACAATATGTACTGTTGACCGCTACTAGGTACTGTTGACTGCTACTTTTGAAAAATAAGTTTCATGACGTCGTACTGTTTAAAGAAAAAACATGGTAGACGGACATTTTTTAAACGTTGATGAAAGTGATATTTTGACTTTACTAGACGACAAGTAGAGCAAAAATACAAATAGAAACATAAAATTAACATTAATTTACTAATGAGTATGCATTGCTGGCGTGGTTTGGAGTAAAGATTGTGAAATGAAGCCATGTCGGTCGATGTTTCTCGTCTATATGTGTATTATTAGTTTTTCGGACTAACAAAACAACTGTAGACCTCTCCATTCGGTCAACTGTCAAAATCATATACCTCAACTGTAAACCTCGACCTTCGGTCTCTGTCAACAGTAGTTTCTCGGTTTACAATTTTGCTGGTTGACCTCTGGAGAGGTCAACAATTTTGTATATAGTATTTTATTTCACAACAAATGAAAACGTCAAGCTGGTAACAGGAGAACATGTAGTATAGTATTTTACTTCACAACAAATGAAAACGTCAAGCTTGTAATAGGAGAACATGTAGTATAGTATTTTATTTCACAACAAATGAAAACGTCAAGCTTGTAATAGGAGAACATGTAGTATAGTATTTTATTTCACAACAAATGAAAACGTCAAGCTGGTAATAGGAGAACATGTAGTATAGTATTTTACTTCACAACAAATGAAAACGTCAAGCTGGTAATAGGAGAACATGTAGTATAGTATTTTACTTCACAACAAATGAAAACGTCAAGCTGGTAACAGGAGAACATGTAGTATAGTATTTTATTTCACAACAAATGAAAACGTCAAGCTGGTAACAGGAGAACATGTAGTATAGTATTTTATTTCACAACAAATGAAAACGTCAAGCTGGTAACAGGAGAACATGTAGTATAGTATTTTATTCCTTGTTTCCAGATGATCTCAAGTCTAGCTTCTCATCTAGTGAACAGAACAGCCAAAAGGTGGCACTGGAGCTTCAAGAGTTAAAGAAGAAATTGCGAGATCAAAGGAAGGCAACTGATGCGGCAGAGTCTAACTCTAAGAAATACCATGGTGTTCTCAACCGTTCATTGGACAATCTTACTTCTTTATTAAAAGAGGTACGATCAACATTAGATGTCACTGAGCCAAAGGAAAATGGAGATTCTTAGTGTTTTTGTGAATAACAATATTCAGAATAATTCAAATGAATGTTATTGATGTACATTGAATAGATGTATGCCATCATGAATAGAGACACAGTGGATAGCGATAAAGCCTCCTAATGAATTGAATGAAGTGAGGTATAATGTCTTAAATATTCTATTCAGTGATGATGATTTATGCACTATATGTGCAGCATTCAACTGACCGGTCAATGTCGTCTGTGGCTGCATGATGAATTTAATAGAAAATCTCTGTGGAAAGAATTGTGTTCAGGGGAAGATATGTTTAGAAATATGATTCTGAAATTATCTGTAGACTGTAGACTTCTACTTGTTTATAATTTGAGTGTATTAGATATTATTAAGTAGGATTGAATGAATGTATTTTCAATGTCCATACTACATACAATGTGCTATAGATTATTGCATAATGTGAATTTCAGCAAGACATTGAGTAGTGTCATCATCAGAATTTAATGTACAAAACATTAATGTTTTTTTAATAAACACAGTGAAAATATGTATATTTGAGTTAATCCTTTCATTTTTATTTTCTTGTTAGAAATTCTTTAATTTATATTTCGTTGTTAGATCGAGGGCATCTTTGACAATCCCAGTAAATAGAATTCAGGTGAATTTTCTATTCTATTTTCTTTAATATTCCAAATTGTCCCAGATTTAAGCTGTTAAGTTACCTCTGAATATCACACATGGAATTAAAAGTGGGCCTTGTCATTATTCTTGAATAGAGCAGGGCCTCATATAGAATCAAAGTGGGCCTTGTCATTATTCTTGAATAGAGCAGGGCCTCATATAGGGTTGATTTAGGTCTGGCTCACTCTACTCGGCTGACTGTGATATGCCGGTGGAAATGTGATCTGGATATAAAGGTGTGCAGGAATAGGACATCTTGTTTTGATGTCACCAATACAAGTGGTGACATATTATATTATTGTAGATTCATATATTATGTTAATTTGATGAAATTGTTTTAAATTTACGTTTTGATGAGAGCAAAGAAGAAAGAAATGATTGAAACTAAAGACCCAAGACACTACAACTTGGATTAGATTTTGAAATTATGGCTTTTATCATTGTATGGGGCTTTTATGACATATATTATATATTTTGAATTCATATAGTGTGTTAATTAGATGAAATTGTTTCATATTAAATTAACTATAATTTCAAAAGGTGACCCGAGTTGTCTTGGGTCTTCACCTTCAATAAAATTAGGATCAATCGTTTTTGTGAATGAATGTTTACTTGGTCTTACTTCTTAACTTTCATCAAATAAGTTAATTAAAAGGTTACACATTAAAAGATCTTCATCAAATAAATACAATTATTATAAACTCATAATATACATATAATATGTGTCATGCTAAACATTAAACATTAAACAAATAATTCCATAATATGATAACCAACCGAGTTTTCCAGTTACCCATTCAACATTAATATTTCTAAAAAGAAAAAAAAACTAATAAACATTCATCCGCAAAAAGAATTGATCCTGGAGCAATTTCTACAGTAGATTAATTAATTGAGTGGCCATCTATTTCATTTTTACGTCACCATTGAGATGTTATTTTTGTTAAGGTGGCCTAAAGTGCTGCTTATTTTTTCGTGAAGGCACTCAGTAAAATTACGATTCCTCTGCACCCTTATGTCCAATCAACATTATTCGAGTACATGTGTTCCTGACACGTTTGGGCATCCGGTAATGACAATGTCTGCCCAATGTTTGCACGCGAAATTGACGTAATTCATGACTGAAATCTCATGTGTGATATTCTTTCAGAATTGTTTATAACAACTATTTACAAAAATGTTCCCGGGACACGAATCTATTAAGGTAAGGTTCGTTTTAAAGGGTGACGCATATCGTTTAGCAAATCGAACGCTCGTTTCTGGTGTTGCTCACCGTTTAGTATAAAAGGCCCGATCCCGGAATAATACTCAAGGGTTCACAGGTTCGAGGTCGTTGTGTCAACACCTCTAACTGTTATATAGCATAAGTCTATTATAGATCGTCACACATTTATAAAAGGGTGATTTTTATTTTGACAAATCAATTCCACATTTATGGGTGAAGTTTCAGGATCTTCTATTTGTGTATAATAAGGAAAAATTGGCATCTAAATTTCCCCATAACGTAATAGCACACAGCTTGGCATATGAAATATCCTACAAATGAAACAAAGCAAGACAAACCGGTTTCTAATACAAGGATTTATATTGGCTGTTGTACATGTATTATTTGAACGCAATCACTCTTTGGATAACGTTTTCAAAATCATTATAAACGGATTACTTTATCTCAAAGACAATTTCAATAAACTGGATTTTACAGAACTCCCCTTATTTCTTATAAATGGACTGATCCAGTTGATTCGCCTGGAGCCACCATATTGTTTTTATACGGGATGCTAATCGGAACCCTTTAAAGTCGAAAAGATCTAGGCAGAGAACTTGAGAATATGGTATCATGTATGCCAGTGTTACACTTTTGTAATTGGCATACCTTTAGAAGAACATTCAGATTCATTCGAATGATTTTTTAAAAGGACTGAAAGAACCCATATATGGTATGGAAAACGTGATCAATGATACAACTAACTCTAATATCTGCAACCATATTCGCAAGACCAAAAAACCCTCAACAAAGGTCAGGGTGTCATTAAGTGATAACTTGTTAATTGCCTTTCAAAATAATAATTGGTGCCTAAATGCTTTATTTCCTGAAATAATAATCTATTATCTTTCAAATGAAATAATAATTAGGGTAATTGCTTTCCTAGAACTGAAGTTGTGTACTTTCAAAGATACCAGGCATCACGAAAACTCATTGAAATCAATGGAACGCTTAACTGAATAATCAACAATTTCAAGTTCAACTTGTTATTGTCTTTAACATTCATATTTCAAGAAGTTCTACAAATAACAATAACAATTACTGATTTAGTTAAATAATAGATAAATGCTGACTAACTATCATTTCGATATAAATTCGGTCCATGATTTTCGCTAGCAACCACATAGCAACGGAATATAAATTGAATTAGTGAAATTGAAAAAATTGGGGGTAAGGGAAAATAAAAAGATGCTGGCACCACAGTTTACCTAAGCATTATGGAACATGCACAAAAATTGACTGAAATCGATTTTCATGAAACAAATCATGTAGGAAAGAGAATTCAATCTGCTAAATGAGAACTATCTACCCAACAGAGTAATAATGAATTATTTTCTTTAGTATTAGAAACTATGTGACTATAAATATTTTGCGAATTTCAATTTTTGGCTTAAACTTCCGATTGTCATAACTTTGCCCCTATACCCCAAATCACCTTGATTTTTACGCCATAAAGTGCCATTCATCTGTGGCCGAAGCTAGAAAAATTACAGAAGCACAGACTTGCAAGGTACGATTGAAAAAATCTATCATTTTACATGGTGTCCAAAAACATTAATTAAGTGTGCTCGAAATCATAAACTTGGCAATTTAATAACAATGAGGAATTATGACTTAAGAACATAGGGAAATTAATAAGCCTTTTATTCTAGTTTTTCAACACTACTATACGAAGAAGATGGACTTAAATAATTTGCCATAACATGCATGGTCTTAATCTTATTGCCAAATACAAAATATAGACTGAAATAAGACGTTCTCTTTTCCGGTCGTATCAAGTAACATCAAACCCGATGCCAACTTTATTATGCCTATTTAAAACGAGGTGGATTAGAAAGACAAGCTCATTTAAAAACATATAAGAACTATTGAAATGAATCGAGCATCCAGGTACTATACTAAGTTAGTTATTACTGCAAACTGTTCAGTGAAACGCTCCACCGACTACAGTGACTCGATAGCTATGAAAAGAAATATAAATGATATAAAAACGTTTATCGTGTTCTGCATGTATCATGATGTATACAAATGCAACAGGTTGCAATGAATGCTGGACATGAGAAAATAACATATTGGAAAAACTTGGTTAGCCTAAATGATTATTAAACTCGCTATTCAAACAAAACATACTGATCCAAGCAGGAATTCAATATTTTCATTATTGGATTGAACTACTATATCGATTTAAATTATTCCAGGTTTAGTTAAGGATATGGGAATGCACAGTAACATTTATTTTACTTGATTGAGAGGTTATGGAAAATATAACACGTTACTTCGTGTGACTGCTGTCTGTATTAAAGTAAGTACAAAAACATATGCTACTTATAAATGAACCAGGATCACGATTTTCAACAAGATATTTTTAGTTAACCTCGACATCGTCAGTTTGTTGTTGGTTGACTTATCTTGCACGGAATGACATCTGGACATACAATTCAAAAGTAATATATGTCTGAACAAATTAGTAATGTGGATTCCAAACAATAAGCCATGGATGGCTTCGAAGACGCATTTTGTCATATGTTTAACACATAAGACACAATGTCTTGGTTGATACATAAGACACAAGTGTCATGTGGTTGACGCATCAGACACAATGATCATATGATTGACTCATAAGACACAATTGGAATAAACCAGTAGTTGGAATATAAGACACAATTGTCATGTGGTCATAGTGGTCATGTGGATGATAATAGGAAGCGATGACCACATGTATTACAGATTTATAAAAATTAGAATGGAATAGACATGCAACCAATAATTATTTTATGAAATGTCACAGCCGTAAAATTCAGTATTGTTGATTTTTTTATGTTTACTAGTAACAAATTCGTTTGTCATAACATATTCGTCCAATATTAGTCTAGTCGGTATACTTTATTAGAAAACCAGTGTATAGAAATTCGAAAGCTCACTTACAGGTTATACCTATAAAATTACTTATGAAGGCCTTCGGGGGAGAATATGGAGGACTGGGGGAGACTATCTTAGGAGGGAGGGAGTCTGTTTTAGGACCCAGATACCATTTATACCTGTGAGAGGGACCATGTGTGGATAGGACAAGGATTATATTTACACCTACCACAATATAATCATCTTGAGACTAATTGGCTTTTTCAGGTATCAGTGGTCCATGATACCACCAGAAATTCACTAAAAGCTGAAGCGTCCCAGCGGGGATGGCTTTCACATGGTGTGACAAGTACTGGGGCTGGTTAGTGTGTTTTGCGTCTTCCTTCAACTTCGCCCTATTGGTAGGGATCGTGGTGAGCTATGGACAACTCCTTGTAGAGTTCAGTCATGTGGATGATTTCAAGGCAGCGGGGATGGAAACGATCGGTAAGTAAAATTGGCAATTTGGCATGCCCATGTTTCATATTCGAATAGCCTACAATGTAACACTACAGTGTAACATCATCAGGAACACCATGTTATACCTTTTACAAGAAGTAGTCTTACAGACTCCTTATTGTGTCGCTGTATTGATACAAAGTCAAATGCTTCAACTTTCAGGTTTCATCGGGTCATTAGCTGGTTTTCTTCTGTATGTGATAGCGCCATTGGCACTATTTCTAAATGCTAAGATAGGGACGCGATTCACTGCTTTACTCGGTGTCATCATTTCATCAGCGGGTCTGGTAGGAGCGGCTTGGTCCACTGAAATATGGCATCTATTCCTCACGTACAGTGTCCTGTTCGGTGTTGGTGCCAGCTTGTCCACACATCCTTCCTTTCTTCTAGTGGGCGAATACTTCCCAAGAAACAACAAGTACCACATAGCGGCCACGAGCATGGAGGCAATAGGGGGAGCATTGGGTACTTTTTGTATTTCTACTTATTTTATAAGTGCAATTAAAATAGTATTGATATTAAAGAGACAATGGATATGATTCTCATCCTAAATAATCCTAAAATAATTATGTTTCGTAATAATATGCAAATCAAGGGATTAGACTTTCTTTGTGGTGTTTAACTCAGATAGCATAAGAACCTTTGTTTCAATAATAATTAGTGGGAATATAAAATATATACTTTAAATCTTGCCCTCAGAACTCTCATTGTTGATAAGATTAAATGACCATTTACGTAACATTTCGAAATCAATAATTATATTATTAAGAGCATCTACAGTCTGATTCATTTCATATTTAATGACAAATTAGTAACACATTGTGTTCGTCGTCCTCTTGAACTGTACTCGAAATTGCCAGGTATGTTTCCGTAAATCCAGAACGAGTTGGATACCTGAGACAGTTTTATACTTCAAACATGTAATACTGTTATTCCCGGAGTTATTCCATAGAAGTATAAAGCCCGTTCACATATGATACATGCTTGTTGTTAAAAATGCCACATCTAAACAGGACTAACATGATTCATCCGATTCCAGGTCATGTAATTATACAGCCGCTTTCTGAAATCTTCATTCAACATTATGGCTGGTCAACTACATTCCTCATCTTTGGAGTTACGGAGTTTATAGTTGGTACTGTGACGTGTGCCACGTTCCGCCCGTGTTCAACTAGTGGCAACACAGAAACAACTGCTCTGTTAGATGACTCACCCGAGGAAAACAGTCCCATTGAGAGCACGGAACTGTCTCCAGTAGATAAAACTACAAAAGACGCAAACACATTCTCTTCAGAGTCAGAGAAACATGTCATCAATGAGAACCATGACAATGTTGACGATAAGCAAATGACACCAGGAACTTTGCCATTTAATGGCTATAGTATACTCATGCTATTTGTTGTTTTATGGCTGATTGGATGTTTCTCAACCAGTCTGGCGTATTATGCCCATTCAATAGTCATAGTAAGTTTCTAGCTATAGCAAACGGTAACACATTGTCACAATCTCCAAATGAACGCAACAAAGAGTAACCATACGGCTTTGGTACATCTATATTTATATAATTTCTACATTATAAGTAATCTCAGCTCCAAAGAGGCAACACGAAATGTACTCACCGGTAATTTCCTCTGTTTATCAAAACACAATTCATATTTGTAGGTGAAATATATGGAAAAGAGTCTAAACATAGACAGTTGGCGAGGGGCGCTGACCATAGTGTGGCTGGGTATAGGGGAGATCATTACCCGATTGGTCACATGTATCTTCGGAGATCGCATTAAAGGAAGACTCTTCTGGCTGTACGTCTTCTGCAATATAGCTCTAGTCTTGGATAATGTAGCAGGCCTATCTGGCAGAGATTTCATGCACATGTCAATCTTTACTTCAGGTGATTGTTTCAACTATCATTCTATTCGTACTGTAACAGTAGACGTATCTGAAGCTTATTTAAGGGAGTTAAAGCATGCATATATAATCGAAACGTATGGCGATCATACAAATGCATCGCTTTATTATTTTCCGTTCACGTTTAGGTTGTGAAAAACATTGCAAGCTTAAACTCCCTATTGAGAGTTCGAGACGCTTGAGCCCTTTGGGTTTTGATTCGTTATTTGACGCCACTCCAGTTTGAATGAAATGTGGTATTGTGGTTTCGGATTGCAATAATAATACTTGAATTTTGGGAGAGGGGATGCTAAACGTTATTTCATTATGTACTTCATTTGAAAATTCGGATAAATGGTTTGTTCCCTATCTGGTAATCACTTATACATACTGCAGTGATGATGTGTTAAATATGATATATAGGATATATTATAGTTATATTATAAGTAACGATTATTTCATACGGCTCATCAGTCTCTTAATTCTGGTTATTCTCAATTCAAACACAAGAGGGACAAAGTAGAATTATTTCTTTATGAGGATTCAAACTTAACTAAATCCACTAATTTTAAAATTCTCAAGCTGTGTAGGTTTCCCTGCCACCACTCACTTCACTCTTGAGTCCATATTTAAATTTTCTTTTTTCTCCACCCTGCAATTGTTAATCAAGTGGCTGATAATGCCTTCAGCAAAGCCACTACAAGTGCATAATGTTTATGTATTTTATGTATTTGTAAAATAAATTCTATGAATAAAAAAAAAATCAGTCCCTGGTAAGGTTCACGGCCTATTGTTGCCTATGCCGGGCTGCATTTATGAAACTTTTAAATATCAATTGTGTAAGTATATTATAACAATTGATTTGAAAGGCTATGATATAAGCTTGGATGTATACATGTTCCAGTGATGGGGCTAGCTGCAGGTCCAATGTGGGCAGCATGGTACGGGGCATGCGGTGACGTACTCTTTGGCCAACACATCCCTCTGTTGTTTACACTTACACGTTCTATGAATGGAATAGGACTTGGACTCGGACCACTCATCGCAGGTAATTCAGACCAGCATATTCAATTCAAAAGACTATTCAAACCGTCAAACTATAACTTAACGTGAATACTAATCAATATCCGAAAAAATTCCCGTGACACATTCATACATGAAGTTTGTTATCCAAAGAAATTCATGGCATTTTGGTTCCAGGTGTCATCTACGAGTCTACGGGCAGTTACAGAAATGTGTTTTTCCTCAACTGTGGTTTGTATGGAGCGGCTGCCATATTCTTCCTATTACTTATCATACTCCAGCGGCACCTCTACCCAGACTATACCTACGGTGGCGAATATTTCAACCTGGCGGTAAAGTCTGATAGGAAGAACAATAATGCTGGGACAAGCAATAACACAGATGATAATAGCAGGCCACACATACAAATGGATCCTGTGTTGACGTTGTCTTCCAAAAAAAGTCCTTATGAAAAATTGGAATAATTCTTGGGTAATAGCTAAAGTAAATGTTATATGTATTTTTATATTTATTTTAATTTTTCTTTTTTAGAGTGACTTACAAAAATAGTTCAGTAAATATGTATATTATACTTATAAAATACAAAATATACATAATATTATATATTTTTCGATTCTTGAGTATTTTGCATTTAGTGTCCAAGCATTTCAGTACCCGAAGGACCAATAGCAGTTGCTAAGAATATTAGTATAATTTTGGCACTTTTTTACTAACGGCACAATCGTTGATGGAACGATTAAAAATTTCTTACATTGGAACTTTCATCCAAATATAAGATATGAAGATGCGCATAGGCTATAAAATTAGCTGTTATACGTCAAAGTATAAATAGTCCATCTTCAAGGCGCATCATATCCTCCAAATTTAGCTTCAGTGTAGCTGCCATATAATGGTAGAAAAATTCCGGAGCCTGAAATGAAAAATACACAAATTGCTGCATGGCTTTAATGTTAACAAAGTGGTGTATTTTAAAATTAAACAACAAATCCCTACAAACCATATGAACAATACCAGGCTTAAAATCTTAAACAATCAATAGATCTTTTACATATATTTAGTATTTCTTAGAATAATTGAGTAGTTTACCTTATTTTCGATCCTCTTCAAGTAAAGAAGATTCAGGCCAGTCCAACCTTCTGTCACAGATCTGTAGCAGAGTAAGAAAAATTAAATAAATTATATAAAGAAGTGTCCTTTTGCGTGTTCATTTTGAAGCAAGAAATAAGGATGTATCAGCTGGTTGTAATTGTAAAAGTGTAACCGTTTATTACAGACGCTGATCATTGGTTTGACAATGAACATTGGATTGATGCAAAAATGGTGACTGCAATATTTAATCTCTTTCTGGACATGACATAAACGGGTTAAAAACGCACCTATCAAAGCTACTGAGATGTAAACCATTTAGCCATTGTATCACATCTTTAGTATTCCAAGTGGTGATCTTATTGTCAGAATTGGAACCGCCCTCTTCTTTGGGAGGCTTGCTCCCCTCCACCCTTGCCACAACATCTGCAGTATCTTCCTGTTCCTATATACATACATAACAATGTATTCTTTACCTACTAAGGTTCTTGGTACATAACGTGCGTAAATGTATAGTATATCTAGCGAGCGGGTCGATATTTTCTATTTCAATATCGCGGAGGTCTGCGCTCCACAATTCTAAATTGGTTCTTTAATATTGATTTAAATTTTTGTTCGGAAAATGTAAGTTTAAAAAATTTAAACATATTTTACTAATTTTCCCCAAAAATTGTTAAAAATTGAAATTAATGTTACAAAAATCCATTCTTGAAAATTTGGAAATCTCAGAAGGTAGAATTATACCAAGTTATGTGCGGTCGGCTTTGGATCCAGGGTTTCTACCTCTGTCCCTCAGGATAAAACATGGGTCCAAAAGCTCCCAGTGCAAAAGATCACACACGCAATACAATTTTATAAGAGTTTAAAGTGTTTTATAACAGCCCCTACTCTTTCTATATTCAAAATCATATACTAGTTATGGTGAGTATGGTTTTAACATAGAAACAAGTGTTGCTACAACGCGAGAATGACGAAACTGCAACTTACACTATTGGGAAAATACTTTCGTCTCAGCTCCTTCATGAGGCCATCTATACGAGATTCAAATGTGTATTTGCCACTGAAGTCGAAGAAAAGTCTACTACCAACAACAAAGCCTAGCCATCCATCAGGCCTGTAATTCCTCTGTAGCTTTAAAGGTACAACCTCTTTGCGCAATTGGTATGCATACTCGGCTTCTGCAAATAGAGTAGTTGAAGTTTTTAAAAATATAAAACCAAAGGCAGATATTAATGTTAAAATCAGAGACTTGCACACAAACGATAAGAACAGAATTAATCTTCAACGGGCCCGAGTGGAATGCCCTTACCTGCTCGTGAGTTGGGACTGTCCTTGTAGGCTTGTGACATGCACACTAATACAACATGGGCGTTCTCCACAGCATTTGCCATAGCTTCAATTGTGGACCCCTCTATTTGATCCACGTCCAACCAGACTTTATAGCCAGCTTTTCTGATATATTCACTGATCTCGAGAACCTGTTTTTGATTGCTCCAGCTATAGCTGATCATAACATGACCTGTTTGTGTGCTGGAGCTGGCAAGTTTATCATTTTGGGCATCCGAAATGGGAGGTGCGGGTGGTGGTGCTCCAGCGGGTGGAGGAGCCGGAGGTGGTGGATTCCCTACACGTACATCTTCAAATGGAGGGGGATGTGTCGATGATGATGGGGAAGGGGCTATAGGTGGTAAAGGTTTGACTTTTGTCAATGAACTTCTAGGTCTTGGTGAGGGAGATTTTTTCTTGGGACTTGTCTCAACATGGGATGGTTCGTGCGATTTCATCATTTTGAAATGCATTCCCATTTTGGAACTACTGTGCCTTTGGTATATTCCACACCCCCACAGAGCTCCCATCGCCATTTTCTTGACCCCATGATCAGAGCTGTTTCTTGTGAGAGCCATCAATGCATCCATAACATCTTGGTTGGCAGCCATCATCTCTTTGTTGACTTTGTCAAATGAGAGAACCCATATGGTATGTGCCGCAACTGTAGAAGTAAATATTGTATTTTATGTTTAGCTGATGGATGAAATGTTATCAATACCTGTTACTCATAACAGTATGTGTTTGTTGAACTAAAGTCGACCTAAACTGAACATGATTTTAAAAGTTACAATCTAACTAATATAAGGGGACAATGATATAACAACAGAACTAAGTTGGATTGAAAGATTTATCTTTAATCAAGCAAGATTCTGTTAAAGTTGAATGCAATTACCTTTCTGCTCTTGGGTGTTGCCATTGTTCATCATTGTAACAAGGGAAGGTAAAATACCCGCATCCAAGATCCCTCTCTTGTTTGAGTCGTTTGAAGAAAGCATTGCGAGACCTACAATAAGCATACTCCAGCGTAATATATGTATCATCACCAAACTGAATTAAACGATTCATAAAATCTTAGCCACGCATTATCTGGCATCAGTGGTTCAAGGGTGTTTCACTCCTTTCCATATTGGAACATAAATGAAGCTTTTAGCAGGGTGAAGGATGATTATCTGGTTGTTATTGATAACTGAAATGTTATGTACCTCGAACCAGCCTGTATGGTGTCCAATCCCGTGCTGTACCATCCTCTGATTTCAAAGACGTTTCCAGTAATATAATAATGTACCTGAGGTGAGACGGGTCTGTCTTGAATATTTCACTCTGGCTTTCATTCACCAGATAAAACAGGCACATGATCACTGGAGTTTTAAAATGAACTTTAGGCGTTTTAAGGTATGGAGTTATAGCCTCTACAAAGCCGGAGTCGATGAAGTACCAATTGGCCATTTCACAGTATGCCATATTGTGACTTGTTGATACTGTCATCAGAACAATCTCTTCCTCCACCTACAAGCAATAGATACTGTGAAATGTCATCTACTGCTTACAAGGAATCCATGTGAATCAAGTTAGTAACGGTTAAGACAGTGTTTTCAAACTCAGGGCAAAGGTAATTCTTGAATTGATAAAAATAAATACAATGTCAAGGCATTAACATGCAAAATGTCACCATCTGCCATTTGGTACAGACACCGAACGCCAACCACTGAACAACAACCGCCGAACCCCGTCTTGGAGACCACAATAATATGTCACCATTTGTGGTGGTGACATAACAATGGTTGTTACCTCTGATGTTTCTGAGTTGAAATGCGAGGGGTTGTAGGCCTTGAGCGACGCCATCAATACATCTACCATCCCAGCATCAGCAAATAGGCAGGACATTTTGTCATAAAACCAGGTTAGATTTTGTATGAATGAAAATGTTTGTGTAAAGCACTTGCATTCTATTCCACTAGAATCAGAGTTCCATAGCGAGAAACTTGTGTCCCATGTTATTGTTAGAATAGTCACCATCCCATTTAAGGCTTTGTTCTCTTCAAAGTTCTTATGCACACGCTCTTTTATGGGGGCTTTCTCCTCCTCTGAAAGGTCTTCTATGATGTACAGTGCCTTGGAGAGGGAGGTGATCATGTTCAGGTATGCTTCATTTGGTACAAGCTCCCTGTCAATAAATAACTGATGAATCTGCTTACAGTTTTCATCCATTTCATCTATATGTTTATTTAGACCTTCCATAGTGTATCAACTTCTCTCATAGGTTGCCTCTCTTGCTTTTATGGTTGTTGTTCACTGATGTTGTATTAACATTTGCTGGAATCTTACATTTGTTGTTTGTGTATCATTACATCTAAGAGATGAGAGGACAAACACGTTTATCTGAAATGAATCAATACTATACGAGTTACTCATGTACATACTGTTGAAGATGCGACCATTCTCATCATGTAATTACACCCTCATACAAGTAACATATACCATGATTAGCATTCGACCTATGTTTGACATTTCCATTCTCATTTTCATTACACATTTGTCGTTATCACTGGCTGGATCAGTCAAATAACTTGCCCCAACAAATCAGGTTATGAAATACACGAACATATTAACTTACACATTAATGACTTCTCCAGAAATCCGGCAGTTCTTTAACCTTCACCAACAAGAATGTCAATGTCAGCTTCATGATTTATCGTAGCAACATACAACGCAGCACGCCATGTAATTTACATCTTGAGTGAAGCAGAACTCGACTGAATCCATAAATGCCAAAGAGTGAGAACGCACATTCACATTTGTCGTTGTTCATTTGCTTTTAACAGGTTTGTTATTAAATGTAGCCCGGTGCCCCTGTGAGTTACCAATACGATTGTAGCTTCTTTAAAGGCACTATATGCATAATGCACTAGATCAATAGGGAACAATGAGTAAGCAGTTTAAAGCATTTACCTCTAGACGCTTATAGAAGAACATGGGCCATAGCAAACACAATATATAGATTATCAATAATCCGCAAGCTCTCGATCTTATACATTATGGGATGGCCTTTGCATAAATGTCACGTTGTTAGTGATAATGTCATGGGCATTCAAGAGACATGTCATGGTTTTGCCAAGATATTCAAAATAACTAGGAAACGACAACGCTAGCGACTGGCGTGTAGTAAATCTCTTAGAACTGATAATACAAAATCTCAACATTAGTCAACGGGCCACAGATAAGGAATCACAACTACATCCCATTCGTTGATGCCATCCCTGTCATTTATCTAGACACTCCATTCCCTTGCTTATGAGGTATGGCCTTGGTATGATATGATGAAACTTGTTCCATTTCAATTTGTTATGGAAATGTTGATTACATGTTATATGTAGAACCAGAAATGTACTTTTAAATATTTTAATATTAAAATCTAGACTTGCTTCAAGACACTGTTGTTTAGATAGGGGCCAGGTCCAAAGTCTTGAAGCAAGACTAATATTATCTTTATCAAAACATAAAGTGCCGTAATTCAATATAACTATATTCAGGGATTGGCCTACCGTGGTCGTATCAGTATCCCAAATTTTATATGCCAATGCCCATTCCCACCCCCACAAAAAATAAAAAAGCAATTTTGTAAAAAGATTGGTATCGATATGGTGAACTGAATTCAACAATGTTTTTCTCTTAAACCAATTATTGAAAACACTCTGTAATGTAATGTATTGTAACACTATGTAATTTTGGCTGATTGACAACAATTTAATGCGAAAATTATTTATATATCATATATTTTATATAACTGTTTTTGTTAACTTTTTTGTTTTTAGTGCAATTGTTTTTGTTCCTTTTTACCAATTCTTGAGAAGGAAATAAAATATCTTTCCGAAGCTTGTTGGAACAAAATAGCATATACAACATTTTCTTTAACCTCTCAATATTATAGTTCTACAAATGAGATTAACAACCCCCCAAATAGATAAAAATTAAGATAAACCTTTTATTTCATTAACAAGATTACAATACAATTACAATATTGAGAGACCTAAACACGTTGTGTTTATGTCATTTTGTTCCAATGAGGTTCGTATAGATGTTTCATTTCATTCCGAACATATGATACCAAGAACATAATAAGTGTCTGATGTGTTTTCTAAAACAATATAGAGAAAAGTATAAATATTTATTTCAAATTATATTACCATTCAAAAGATGACCATTAAATTGACGATGTGTAAAATTTTCAGATTTTTTATGGCTGGTTTAAGAGAAACGTGTGTTCAAAAAGTTCACCATATCGATACCCATCCTTTGTAAAAGTAATTATAGTTTGAAATGCTTAGAATGCACCATTTACAAAGTATTTAAAAAATTTCCCGGGTGAACCGCCGTACCCCCTGAAGAATATCATGTTATGTTGAGTGAATTGATAAAATATGTTTTGTTCGGTGGGATTTGGTACTCCGTGAGTTGCTGTTTTTTTTTAGTTAATATATAACTATAGATAAGATTACGATACAGAAATACTATGTGGTTTCGCTGACCACAAAAACACTCAAATACCTTTTAAAGTGGCAGCAAAGAACAGAGAGTGTACAAGGTTAGAAATCTTGGTTTAGATATCTGATCAAATGAAAGATTTCAAAATGATATAAGGATCGAACCATTCTTTAAATAAGATGACTATAGAAAATGAGAATGTTCTGAAAGTTGAGAGGAAAAACATCGTCCCTTGTCTTTGTTGCACCTTTATTATTAATATTTATACATTGGTAATGGTAGTAAATCATCACAACCCTCAATAATTTAGAACCGTATAAACTATCTGTATTACTTTGTATATTATATGCTGACGGATAGACTTCCTGCTTATGGAAAAACAATAACGATAATATCATTGTGTTCTAAGGCCAGCGGAATATCGATTCTAACATTCAGAAAATGGAGCATCATTGAGATGGAGGGTTTGAATTGACAATCTACATTATGAACGGTGTATTTAATTATGCTGCCCTATCACAGAGCATACATTACACGTACTTATACTCAGAGGGCTTGTTGAGTGTTGGCTGTTGTTTTTATATTTATCTCTTCGGTATCTCAGCATTATTAGAGTGTCCTGGGGACTGCGTAACCTTCGCTGATAGGCCCGATACACGAGGCTGTTTATAGTATAGGGGAATATCGATCTAAGCATTATAGATCATGCTTCGCTTGGAAGCAGCCAATATAGGAATATTTAATGATAATTCCATTCCAGTGTTACAGTTCCAATACAGAATGGTATTCCGGCACATATCGACGTTCTCAGACTATCAGAAGATATAGCAACTGTGGATAATACACATCACTTGGAAAGAGGGAGTGGAATACTCGACCCTCTGCGTTATGACTGATAAAAGCGAACAGCGGGAGAAAATAATGTCGTCATTCAGCAAGGCTTGCGCTGAGTTATCAAACAGCATCAAAGGCTTCCGGCTGACCAGGAGTCGGGAAAACTCTACAAGTAGTAGCAGTGTTGGCGGTGGAAGCGCCACTAGCCCTAACGGCACTAGCAAAGATGCAATGAACAATACAGTTATGGTGACAATCAACGGCAAGGTACCAAGCCCTAATGGTAAGGTCCCTCAACAAACACAGGCAATCAGCCCAACATCCATATCAACTAAACCAAGGAAGTATGACCTTAATGGATACATTCCAAAACATGGACAACTCACTCAAGATGACATGTGGACGGATCAATATTTCACATCGAAGTTATTCTGGTATTTTTCCACTTGTGAACGATGTACTTTAGCTCAGGTGTCAGAGAAATGGAGGGATGTATTGTACAGACCGGAGTATTGGCTAGGGGTGACACCAGTGTTAAATTTCAAAGACATCAAAGATGATTCTACAAGAAAGAAATTCTACGCTAGTTTCCTACAGAGAGGGTTTGATTCTATAGGTCTCTACGGGGCAACTGATAACGATCTCATCAGTTTTATCACAGATTTTCCATATTCCAGAAAACACATTCGTTCCCTGGCTCTCCGGTGCTCGAACATCACCGACCAGGGGCTAGAATCAATGTTAGAAAAGATGCAGTGTGTGTATAGGCTAGAACTATCAGGGTGTAATGAACTCACAGAGCCGGGATTGTGGTCATGTTTGAATTCTAAAATTGTCTCACTCAGTATCAGTGACTGTATCAACGTTGCGGATGATACCATAGCAGCAATTTCCCAACTTTTGCCCTCATTGTATGAACTCAACATCCAGGCGTATCACGTCACTGATGGTGCTATGGCCTACTTCAGTGCCAAGCAAAGCTACACGCTCAATATTCTTCGTTTGACATCTTGTTGGGAAATCACCAACCATGGAATAGTGAACCTGGTCCACTCGCTGCCTAATCTGACCACCATCAGCCTCAGTGGTTGCAGCAAGATTACAGATGATGGAATCGAAGTGATAGCAGAGAATCTCCGAAAGCTCAGGTCCCTTGATTTATCCTGGTGTTCACGCATTACAGACGCCTCGCTAGAATATATCGCTTGTGACCTGGGGCAACTAGAAGAACTTACGCTTGACAGGTGAGCGCTTTGATTGTCGTAAAAGCTATTAATTCATGGCATTATGACTAACGTGTACTGACGTGACCGATTCATCACACTTCCCCCATCTGTAAATTACGTTCATCCCGGTACTAAATATCAGAACTATATCAATTACATCAAGGTAACCGTAGCAACCATAGGAATGGCAAATAAACATAATGATCAGTCTCAAATTGTGTCGTTTGATTTGAATATGAGTATTAAAGAAATTGTAGACCCGACACACTACTCTTTTAGTAGTTGTCGATGCTATAAATAATTTAGAGATCTCGTATATTGTAATCTATAAATGTCGAAATACATGCAATGGGATCAATTCTACGTTAGCCCGACTAATAATGTGCTTAGAATGCATGAACTTGGGTTAAAACAGCGTGTTCAACGCTATTATCTGCACACTAATGATTCCTTCAATACAATAAGTAATTTCGATTAGTATGACTTCCAATGGCTAACCACCGTCATAGAGATGAAAAATCAATGGATTTGGAGACTTAACCACAGCATATCTTTGTTGTATCTATAAGTATAATCTTCACATATACCCACTAACGAATCCAATTATTCTCATACCGGATGTCGTCCCTTAACTTGACCTTTGTGTTCACTGATCGGTCCACTCGGTCAACAGGAAACCACCTACACTCTCAGAGCGTGAACATAAGAGGACCGTGAGTTCTCAGAGGAAGGGACCCAACCTTTTAATCGTCGACGACAATTTTTGGAAGAAACAATTAAAAAAACTTGTTGCTAACGTTTTGAACAGTTTAAGTGATCGTACCAGAAACAGCAAACCATGTGTCGGTATTCTTATTTAGACACACAGAGTTTTTGCCGTGCGTATAAAATTATACATTAAACGATCATAGTCTGTTTCTGTCCCGGTTTCTGTATTCTACTACTGACTAACAGAATTACGTTTCACTGAAAACTTGATTATTGACTGCCATATTAAGCTCAATGAGCATCGTAAGGGTCAGTTCTCCGTGTGTGGAAAGTGCCAGAAGCAAATGTGACACGTGTTGGGTATGTCACGTTTGTCGCAGCGGTTTCAAGATACGGATCACGATCTTGGAATGATTAATGACCTTCTTGTCCTTTGGGACTCAACACTCAACGAAACTCTCGGATCATTATTCACTATGAATCAACAGATTAACACATGCCCTTGATAGATCAAGGCAGAATAAACGACAGTAAAACGGTATTATAAAATGAATCTAGTTTCATTGAAATCCTTGAAAATGACGCCCCCCCCCCTGTTTTCGCTAATATTTGGCGACGATGGGCGTACGGGATCTGCATCACGCTTTGCAGATCAAAACTCCAGGATATCGTAGTCCAGCCAGCAAGAGCAAATTAGTACGTGATTAATATAGTCAGAATAATATTTGCATGTCGTGCGTCACACCACCAGAACATAATTCTTTATTTTAACATAAGTTCATATATATGGTATTTATTCTATCAAAGTATAGCCTAGTATTTAACTTTATTCTACATTTTCGTATTTTCTGGTTCTGGAGGGAATTACTTCTCTAGAAATGAATAGCAAATAGAAATAATTATGAAGCTAGGCAATTGCTAAGATCTCCACTATATTATTGGATATATAACTTATTAGTCTGTGAGCAATTTCAGTTTGCATTTGGGAACTTATATCCGGTATGGGATTGAGTCTGACTGTACATAATGTGATCAGAATCTCGGTTTCATAATCTTGTTTGCATCAAAAACCGTCTCCATGGGTATATGTGCCACAATTTTGTTCTCTACCAACTGAACCTAAAAGATGTGTTTCTATCCAACCATGGGCTCTACCACTGATAGAGCCCATGATTCAACCTGGCACTTCATCTCTTATTATACTATGGGTATATGAATTAATATGTCTTCATAGCAACCATTCATTTATCACTTTTCCTTGTTTTGATTTAAAGGTGCAACAAATTAGTGCAGAGGGGCCATTCAACGATCATATACCAGTGTCAAAATATATTTAAGTTTGGATATTTCATCAAGTCTTACATCTATTTTTATTATCTACAAACATTATTTCAGCTGATATTCCTCTTGAAACGCGGTGGATCTTAAAAATATAAAAGTGGATTTTCCTTTTCGAAGCTTTGAACTGAATTTACACTTCTTAATGCTGAAATTGATAGTTTATCCATACATTTTAAGAAAATGGGTATGTGAGAGAAGATGTTAATTTCCCTTTACAGGCCTTGTTGCCCCTTTAATAATATAATCTTGATCCTTCGCGGCGGCCTAATATCACCTCTTTTAAATAATTGTTTCCGAACATAACCGTCGCTTCAACTGTTTTATCACTTGATCCTCATTTCATGGGATTTTATCGTAGCTAATTCTGTGCATGTATTAAGCTCTTGTGATAATGTATCATATGAAATCCCATTTTCGGTTAATTGGGTCGTGAATCGCAACAATATAGCGTCTTCGATATCGTCAATGACAATATGGTAATTTCAGTGTCCGTTGTCCCGTATCTCATTTTGATCGGTTAATTAAAGACTTTATTTCGATGGTAGAACATTATCAACTGTACAATGAGTATTAAGACACTTTGATCGATTGTTGTTCCAGAGGAATTTAGTGTAAGTGCTCTATTAAACATACAGTTCATGAAAATTTAATTGAAGCGACGGTTATGTCCGCCATTTGTGACAACGGTATCTGACTTTACCGTTGTCAGGCTATTCCGGGGTAAAGTGGCTATTTGTACCTGGTCCTGACATGTTTTTGTATCCGCGGGACCTGACACAGGGTGGGATCTATCTTATCCCGGTGGAGCAGTACCCTATTATATTGACCTTTTTGTTTGGTTGAATTCTCCTCTTGAATTATGACGTCTGCATGACATTTTGTTTGATGTAACCCAGTGCATACTTTGATTGGTGATCAAAGATCAAAATCGATAGTTACTTAATTATCTCTTGAACTGTTCAATATAATGTATTTACTCCCAGAGAGATTGGTTAATTAAGATCACTCGTAAAGAACCTGTATAGTCAATATCGATCGAGTCTTCAAGATCACTCGACGCACACTGGACCCGTTGGAATTAATGTCCTCTGATAGATCTCCTCTGATATATTGGAAAGGCGCTCTAGCCGCGAGGCATTTCTAAAGATGAAAAAGATAGTCAAGCAAGACCCATAAATGTATCAGATTGAGAATACCTTTACACGGCAGAGTGGAAAGGGAGGCGACATTAGAAACCTAGCCACTAAATACATATTTCCTACTTTGTTTGAGAAACAACGTAACTAATATAAAGACCCATTCTCTAAATAGTATGATTCCAGAATTAAAGCCGCAAGAAAACTTAATAATGGACAGTACTATTAGGATTCCTTTCATGAGGCGGTGTATAATTCGCCATAATCATCATTATAATTGTATTATATAACACAACCCTTATAATATGCGTTTGGGGTAAGATATGAATTACCTTCATGATTAGCCTGTTACTCTTATCATTAGTAAATCGAATGGCTACAAATGAGAGGGCCACGTTAAAAAACTGTTTGGGCTTTCGTTTTAGGAAAAGTTGCGCTCAATTCTTGAAGGGATTTCAAAAAAGAAAGTCGCTCAAATATTTTTAAAATAACAACTAGAAAACAGCTCCACGGAGTAGCAAATCCAACCGAATGTTTTGATATAAGCATATATCCTAATCAGTCCACTGGTATTTTATTTTGTGTCCCTAGGCATTAGCATAAAAAATTTGAAGCAAATCCGTCAATTGGTATTTGAGAAATCGATTACATTTTTAGAGAAAAGGCGGCCATTTTGAATTGAGCGGCTTATTGAAAATTCCTTCAAGAGCAGAGGCTCTACACCCATTATCTGTTACTGTCTAAATGAATAGACGCAAATAAAGAATACATACATACATACATACATATATAAGGCACAAGCGCTATAAAAATTTAAAATCTTCCGGATAAACGAACATGGACGGACGAACATACGCACGGACGGCTTCTCTATATCCATACGAGCTTAATTCGGTGGGATAATGATAATGTTTTATATAGAAGTTTAGAGGTAGCCCTAGTTAAAGTACAAGATTCACATCTTGAAATAGATGATCTCCATATGTTTTTTGTTTTCCAGAAAATGTGATACACTTAGTGCATGGTTTGTCAAATCAAACACATTTAATAACAACAAACAAATGTAACCGAGATGTACTTTTACCACCTTTCAATGAATATTAATATGAATGTTGATTGGAGATTGAGTAACAGAGTAAGTGAGGTTCTCTTCATCCTGGTTGTAAATGTTAACAGGCACGAACTGAGAATAATCATTGTAAACAAATGCAAAACAGCAACCATATTTAATTTTTCATCCTTCACAAGACCACCCTATGCAGACAGAGCCTGTGGGAAATATTGGGTGCGGCGCAAATGAGCGGAGGGTGCGGAGCTAACGGTCATTTTTGAATTTAAAATTGGGATATTTCTGAAACTAAGCCGTTTTGGGACTTCAAATATACCAAGATATGTGTATTTGACACCAAATACCAATAAAATTGTGAAAATAGTAGTGCAATTCATTTAATAGCGACGCAGTATGCCTTAAACATTTCCCAGACCTATATATTTTGAGACTATCCTTTTAATACTGCGTCCACAGCATTCATAAAAAATGGTGTTCAAGATACACTACCCATGCAAATTATTTTTGCATCTTGGAAGCCAGGCAGTATCTGTGTGATTTTATAAAAATTCGGAAATGTTCTTCAGATATGAGCCCCCTCTAAATATTGGGTGCGGAGCTACGTTTATGGAGCTGCTCCGCACCCAATATTTAGAGGGGGCTCATATCTGAAAAACATTCCGAATTTTTATAAAATCACACAGATACTGCCTGGCTTCCAAGATGCAAAAATAATTTGTATAGATAGTGTACCTTGAACACCATTTTTTATGAATGCTGGGGACTCAGTATTAAAAGGATAATTTCAAAATATATAGGTCTGGGAAAGGTTTAAGGCACACTGCGTCGCTATAGAATGAATTGCGCTACTATTTTCACAATTGTATTGATATTTGGTGTCAAATACACATATCTTGGTATATTTGAAGTCCCAAAACGGCTTAGTTTCAGAAATATCCCAAATTTAAATTCAAAAATGACCGTTAGCTCCGCACCCTCCGCTCATTTGCTCCGCACCCAATATTTCCCACAGGCTCTGTCTGCATAGGGTGAAGACGGAAAACAAAACTGTTCTCTCCTTAGTATTTTTGTTTTTACATTATGAGGGACTACATGGAGCTAGATAAGCACAATGTTATTCATTAACTGAGGAATGAAAAGTCTGATAAAAATGTATAACAAATGAACTGAATGAGCTGTGTAGTTCCTGCACTGTCTTACGAAAATAACACATATTTTATATATAACAAGGTATCTGCCGCAAAGAGAACATTTGCTGAAACTCGATTATTCTGGATCGCCTTCCTCCTACTAATGCAGCCTTATAGACGGCACCGCTTGCACCCAGAACAATTAATAGACAGTACCCATTGCAAACATTACCCATAACACAATGGTACCCCGTACACCCAGAACTTTAATAGGCAGAACCTCACCCATGTCATTCAAGGCCCCGTGTAAAGTTTGAAAATATGTTTTTTATTCATTTACTATTTTTCATGACTTTTAAAGTTATTTTAGAGATATTTTGAAGAAAATATTTCATTTGAAAACAAAGTTTTTCAAATAAAAGTATCTTTTTAACACCATTGCGAAGATTGAACAAAGGACACACTATTTCAACAACAAAACCTTTTAAAGATTGCACACCATGCGCACTGAACAATTAAAGGCAGCAATTCCTACACAAAAAGACGCACCTCATAAACCCTAACAGACGGCACCGTCTGCCCCCAGTGTCCTAAGGGATAGCGCCTCGTACACCCACGCCAATACCATGAGAAGGCATAGAAACAGCCTCTCAGTCTGGCAATCTGCGATCTACAAGTGGCAACTCATGAGTTGGAATCTGATACCATATCAAAGAAAGAAGTATAAACATCCCGAATAAAAACAACTATTTACTGTACTTATAGTTAGTGAGTGGGTATCTGTCTTCTACAAGTACTTGACCCATTATCTAGTTATCTTCACAGTTTCATCCCATCCCAAACAACACAACAGTGTAAGATAGCGATAAATAAAGGAATGTTTTCATAACAAAATAATAGACTTTTCATCTCTTTTTCAGATTTCGTACTACCCTTGTTTCTTTTATTTAAGCATTTTAGAAAAAACACGTGCTTCCCATCAGTCTTATGTAACAACTTGCTTATCTTATACGAGTTCTTAACAACAACTTGCCAAAAATAAGAAAACCAAAGAACCCTCTTGAGGCCGGGACTAAAAAATATCTTTAAAAAAACATCTTAAACGACTATCTTAGAAAAGAACAAAAGAATTGTATCAGAACTCGGTTATGCTCTTGATCTCCTAATTACAAGTGTATATATGTGGTTAATGGAACCATAAATATGTGTGGTTAATTGAATCCTACATATGTGGTTAATTGTAGTCTACATATGTGGTCCATGGTACCCTACATGACCGGTTAATTGTACCCTACATATATGGTTAAATGTATCCACCCTACATACGTGGTTAATTGTACCCTACATATGTGGTTAATGGTACCCAACATGTATAGTTAAATGTACCCTACATTTGTCGTTAATTGTAGTCTACACATGTGGTTAATCATACCCTACACGAGCGGTTAATTGTACCCTACATATATAGTTAAATGTACCCACCCTACATACGTGGTTAATTGTACCCTACATATGTGGTTAATGGTACCCTACATATATAGTTAAATGTACCCTACATATGTGGTTAATTGTACCTTACATCTGTGGTTAATTGTACCCTACATAAGGAAGTCTTACACAAATCTTACACGTTTTCTAATGATCTAATTATGTTGTACATTCGTATTTTTCGTTTTTTTGGGTACACGGTTTTTTCGACTGGGTACCGGGTACCAAGTTTGAACCCAGTATGGAGGATTAACTACCCGGTACCCGTTTTTTTTCTACAAATACCAAATTAACGATAATTAAATTCAGTATCCAATGCATAATATGACAAGTTTTCGTCAATAAAATCAATATTTATTTTTTGAAATACAAGTGTCCCATTTTTTGGATCACCCTGTATAGTGAATAGCAGTTATTAGAATGACCTTCAAGGCTGATAATATACCATCATACTATTTATTACCAAGACATAATGAATGTGAACAATTTATTTGTAGATGTAACAACATAACAGATGTGGGAGTTGGTTACCTGTCTACCATGACAAGTTTAATACGACTCTACCTCAGGTGGTGTACACAGATACGAGACTTTGGCCTGCAGCACATTCTTACTATGAAGAATCTCAGGATCCTGTCTCTTGCAGGTAAGCCATTTTTTTAGAGTTATGATTTGTTTCATATCACCCTGATTTATCTTCATTATACAGACTTGCCAACCTCCCGTTTTTTTACGGGAATCTCCCGTAAATTTTTTGTTTTTCCGTAAAAAATACCAAACTCCCGTACCGTTTTCTCCCGTAAAAACTCCCGTAAACTCCCCTACCGTATTTCTACTAAAATCTCCTGTAATTTTTTTAAAAAATATGGCCGTAAAATCTCCCGTATTTTTGCTGAAATATCCCGTATTCTGGTGTAACTCCCGTAAATTCTCCTGTATTCTTGGTATAACTCCCGTAAAATCTCCGTTTTTTGCTGTCGATATCTACCGTATTTAAAAGGAATTTGACAAATTTGTGACCTTGATTATTGCAGGCACGCTTCTTTCTTTTACTCCAAGAAGGTTGGCTCCCATGGTTCACTATCGATACTTTCATAAATAACTTAAAAGTACTTCATTCCCATGATTCAAATTGCTTTTCTGCGATCAGTTCGGTATAAGTTTGCACACCAAATGTCCACAAACAGGGGCCAGTTCAAATTCTGTCATACTTCTGTCGGGAGAATACATTTTGTTTTTATATGGCGCTAAACAAAATATTCCCGCTTACTTCCTGCGAAAGCTATTTGGATTTTGATATAATAGCTTTCCCACGGAGCATTTGGACAGCTCAATGATTGTGACCTTTGAAATTGAATTAAGTCGATCAGCGGCTTACTTTTGGTCTCTAACTGTGTCTTACATCAGTATCATCAATCCGTGTAAGTATTAGAGCGCTGGAATACTTCTTTTTCGATCAAGACTTGTAAATTGTTCATCGAGTGAATGTTTTTTAGACCTATTTCCAATATGGCGGTTTGCTAGGAGCGAGATACGCAACGAACGAAATGAATTTTGAGAATTAGTTAGGTTCGGACAACCTCCGGAAATGTACGAAAATGTCCGAGCAGAAAACGCCATATTGGAATTAGGCAGTAAAAACATTCACTCGACTAACAAATTACAAGTCTTGATCGAAAAGGAAGTACCTCAGCACTCCAATACTTGCACAGAAGGATGATAATGATGTATAGCATAGTTAGAGAACAAAAGTAGGCCGCTGATCGACTTAATTCGATATCAAAGGTCACAATCGATGAGCTGTCCACTTTTGCGTTTGAGAGCCATAAGTTTCAAAATCTAACATGGCTCTCGAAGTGAGTAAATTCCCGCAATATAAGGCGCATTATTGGTAGGGACTGCTGTGAAATAATGAACGTAAGTGACATCTATTTTAGATTATAAGTTCTAATTAATTTATTAACTGCGCATGCGTCATAATAATTTCAACCAATTAAATCGCTGGATTAAATGCTCATAAATCTACCGTAAAAATTCCAATTTTTCAAAATCTAAAGTAAAAACTCCCGTTTTTTCTGAAATCTACCGTAAAAACTCACGATTTTTTCAAAATCTACCGTAAAAGCTCCAGTTTTTTTAGAAATCTACCGTAAAAACTCCTGTTTTTCAGAATCTACCGTAAAAACTCCCGTTTTTTAGAAATCTACCGCAAAAACTCCCGTTTTTTCAAAACCTACCGTAAAAACTCCCGTTTTTTCAGAACCTACCGCAAAAACTCCCGTTTTTTCTGAAATCTTCCGTAAAAAAGTCACGTTTTTTAAAATTCACCGCGAAAAATACCTTTTTAAAAAAATTTCCCGTAAAAACTCCCGTTTTTCAAAATCTCCCGTAAAAACTCCCGTTTTTTTTTCAAAATTTACCGCAAAAACTCCAGTTTTTTCAAAAACCTCCCGTAAAACTCACGCTTTTTTTCAAAAAACTCCCGCAAAAACTACCGGATTTTGAAAAAAACTCCCGTAAAAGTACCGCAATTTTTTTTAAATCTCCCGTAAATTTTTCATTTTAGGTTGGCAAGTCTGTTATATATGTGACACCATCCTGTTTTATTTTGCAGGGTGGTCAAAAAAACGGAAACCCTGAATTTTCCTCATATATTTTTAATTTTAAGAAACTACTCTCTGATATTTGACACATTTGTACATCATTCGGTTTCATACCATCCTACCATATTTCATGATCATCAGACTGATAGTCTCAATGTTACAGCATGTGTTGTTTAAAGCGCTGTAACATTGTGACAATCAATCTGATGGTCATGAAATATGGTAGGCTGGTAGCAAATTGAATGATGCACAAATGTGCCAAATATCAGGGTTTCCATTTTTTGACCACCCCGTAATAACGTATGGATTATCACCCTGCTTTATCTTCATTATACAGGGTGGTCCAAAAAAAGTGAACCCCTGCAACATGCTATATTTTCCTTAATACTTGCATGAATAGGCTCATATTATCACATGTTGTAGAGAAAGGTCTAAAATTTTGGTTGATGCCATAATTTATTCTCAGTCTTAAATTTTGAAGAAATTACAAGCGTTTAACAAACATGCCTGGAAATAAGATATTGTACAAAATTTTACAAAATGTGATTCACGGAAATTGTTGAAACACATTGGATGATCTTAAACAGCTTTTAGTTAGAGATACAAGTTTACAACCCTACCATATGACAAAAGGGACACTATTCAAGCAGAAAACACATTTCACACTTTCATTGATCATTTTGAAGCATTTTTAACTGTTCAACAGTTCAGGTACACCAACAGTTAAAGGGGGGCCTCTTATGGAAGGAAGTTGCCCCCTGTGACCAGGAATCTGATAACCCCTTCATCAAATATCTTTAAAAATCAAAAGAAAATCCAATATTCAATGTTTTGAGCCATATATCATTAGAATTGGTCCATGATTTATGAAGATATTGACATTTCAAGATCATATAGGGGTATGTTCATGATTTCACTGGAAAATGTTTTCGTCTGTGGAAGCTAAGCACATTTCTTTGGATCACAATAACTTTGCAACTAACAAAGGTAAGATGCTAATGTTAAGCCATAATGTGCAGGATTTAAAATTGAACAAAGTCAGTAAATATTACTTCTTTAAGACTGCAGCTTAAAAAATTCTCAAGAGAAAGGTGTTAAAGGGTTGAAGAATCGCGGATATTGAAAATCACAATTTGTCCATTTTCAGTAATGTTTGGTTAGGGCTTATAATTTCTGCAAATTTCAAGACTAAGAAAAATGTATGGTACCAACATAAATTTTAGACCTTCCTCTACAACATGTGAAAATAAAAAAGAATTCCTGAAATTAATAAGGGAAATATGGCCAGTTGCAGGGGTTCACTTTTTTTGGACCACCCTGTATGTGATATCATCCTGTTTCATTTTAATAATACATGTGATATCATCCTGTTTCATCTTAATAATACATGTGATATCACCCTGTTTCATCTTAATAATACATGTGATATCACCCTGTTTCATCTTAATAATAGATGTGATAACGCCCTGTTTCATCTTAATAATACATGTGATATCACCCTGTTTCATCTTAATAATACATGTGATATCACCTTGTTTCATCTTAATAATACATGTGATATCACCCTGTTTCATCTTAATAATACATGTGACATCACCCTGTTTCATCTTAATAATACATGTGATATCACTCTGTTTCATCTTAATAATACATGTGATATCACCCTGTTTCATCTTAATAATACATGTGATATCACCCTGTTTCATCTTAATAATACATGTGATATCACCTTGTTTCATCTTAATAATACAATGATATCACCCTGTTTCATCTTAATAATACATGTGATATCACTCTGTTTCATCTTAATAATACATGTGATATCACCCTGTTTCATCTTAATAATACATGTGATATCACCCTGTTTCATCTTAATAATACATGTGATATCACCCTGTTTCATCTTAATAATACATGTGATATCACCTTGTTTCATCTTAATAATACATGTGATATCACCCTGTTTCATCTTAATAATACATGTGATATCACTCTGTTTCATCTTAATAATACATATGATATCACCCTGTTTCATCTTAATAATACATGTGATATCACCCTGTTTCATCTTAATAATACATGTGATATCACCCTGTTTCATCTTAATAATACATGTGACATCACCCTGTTTCATCTTAATAATACATGTGATATCACCCTGTTTCATCTTAATAATACATGTGATATCACCCTGTTTCATCTTAATAATACATGTGATATCACCCTGTTTCATCTTAATAATACATGTGATATCACCCTGTTTCATTTTAATAATACATGTGATATCACTCTGTTTCATCTTAATAATACATGTGATATCACCCTGTTTCATCTTAATAATACATGTGATATCACCCTGTTTCATCTTAATAATACATGTGATATCACCCTGTTTCATCTTAATAATACATGTGATATCACTCTGTTTCATCTTAATAATACATGTGATATCACCCTGTTTCATCTTAATAATACATGTGATATCACTCTGTTTCATCTTAATAATACATGTGATATCACCCTGTTTCATCTTAATAATACATGTGACATCACTCTGTTTTCTATTCAAAACGTTTGTTAAACATGAAATGATATCAAATCGCAACATATAATTAAAACATCTCAGGTTTAAGCATAAATCAAAATGCAATTTCAAAAATGGCACCACATGAATAAATGAGTTGAACATGGTTGATGAATGAGGTACGTTAGCTTCTTCATTTAAAGCAAGGGGAACAATCAATAAAGATGCCATACAACTAAGTGAAAATCATGATTGCTCTGGAAATGTGGCTCTTTTCTGCTTCAGCAGATAGACTAAAAGCTAATTAGATTATCATTATTATTATCACCATTACAGCAGATATTATTTCAAATCTTCTCTGAGCAAGCTTATTGCTAGAAGTACTCATTAGTTCATGCAATATTCCAATGATTAAACTTATTTAATATACAAGTGACATATACAAGTGAAATAACATGTCTGGACTATGGCAGCTTATATTCAACAGTTTTCTCAGAAATGTAAGAGAAATTGCTACAT